GATTTCACAGGTACTTGAGTCCATACAAATGCCAGGCACCGATCAAAGGTCCAGCGATTAGGATACCCAAAACTTGAGTGAACAAGACCTTGATAGGAAAGGCACGGGCTTCGCCCATACACTGTTATGGTTCAGTGATACACGAAGGGCCTATACAAGAACCAGCAATTTGTACATGTATTATACAACTCAACATGCATGCTAACTGCCGTTGGGTTTGAATCCAAAGAACATTTGCTAAATGTTAACCCTTCGATGCTCCGAATGTGGCTCTAATAAATGAAAACAATATGGGGTAGGGTTCTCCCCCAACTGAAAAGGCTAAAATTACCGGTTTATGTCTGACAGGACGTCAAGAACTTTGCTCTCACAGTTTGTGGCTAAGTGTAGTAGAAAGTAAGCCTCTAATTCTGTCTGAAATTTCTATGCAAACTAAGTAATGATTTTCATTTACTTCGGAGAGGGGTCTTTCACTTACAAGTTGTGGGGACATGAAGCTCTGATTTTTTTTCAAATGAAAATACCTTTTGCAATACTTGGAAGTCCAGAAAACACTTAATAAGATCCTCTGCCTTTAAATAATAAATCTTTTTCCATTATCTCTCCAACTTTAGGAAGTAGGAACCAGACTAGACCTGATCACAGTACATTTCATTCTGACCGACAATCCAGATTTTTCATGTTAGGATTTTTCACATGAAGCACTCCCAAATGCTGTTTCTGAGTGGGCCGGCAACCATTACAAACAGGGCTCACACTTCAATGGCCATGGTCAATATTTTGATTGGAATGTGACCAACACTCGGATGTCAGTAATGGCCCATTGTGTCTCATTACTGACGTACAGGTACATGTAGGCATGCACCACATCATGGTCCAGGACTACAAGTACTTCCCATCCTGGGGAATGTTCCAAATGGTGCTTTTCAGGAATTTGGTTTGAATTATAAAGAAGGGGACTAGGTTGAAATTGTGAGGAAAAGCTTTTCATAATGTGCCATAGAGTCTTACATTCTTGAACCTTAAGGTGAAATACATGTACTCTCCCCTCTCACAGTAATTCCGAACTTCTAAGCGGCCACAATTGACAAGAAAGAAGATATAATGGTACATGTACACTATACCCCTCCATGTTTATGGTTGGGTGTTACAAAAACCATTCTCAAAGGCAGCCTGATGCCTACAGGCCACTTAAGTTTTGCTCCAAAACTAATTTTCAAATGGATTTTTACATCCCTGTAGAGGGCATCATTGTTCAGCTTGTGGGAGTGGATGAAATGGCTCTGTTCCAAAATGCAACGAGTGAAATAAAGTGAATACCGCTAGGTTTGAAGTGGGCGGAATTGTGTAGAGCTATCCAGATGAAACAGCAAGATACAGAGTGGATTCTGGGAGTTGACAGTCCAGTACAATGCTTTCCCAATGTGTAACATAGATTGGAGCACTGTGAGTTTTATTTCCAGGCTGTGGGTTTTTTGACCTTCTATGTTGCCTTCAAAAGTACATCTGCAATAACATGCTGCCAACGTGAATCAAAGGTTTCATGTTTTATCCTACGCAGGCCCTTTATAGGTGTATTTCTTGCTGTGAGACATACCTTGCCCTTGGCTCAATTTTACATGTACCTACCTATGGGGAAAAAATCTTCTGTCAACAACTAATGCATTAGTCTATGGTACAAGAAGTGAGTGATCAGCCATTTTAAAGAAGTACTTTCTGTAATGTACACTGACAACATCTTGGCTTGTAACTGTTCAGCTGTTTTTTTTTTTTATTAAAGCTTCTACGCTAAAATACATACTGACAGTAGATCAGTTTGTCTTGGATGTGTCACATAAACATGACTCGCAAAAAAACACACCTCTGGTTTTTGTGCAGGCTAAAAACTACCACACAAATTGTCACAAAAAAAACTTGCACTTTGTGAAAAGAAAGTTATGACAAGTTGAGAAGAGCTAGATGTATGAATGAGCACTTATGGGTGCACACATGTACAAGTTGGCCTGGGGGAGGGGGAGCAATGATCTACATATATGCATGGCTAATTATCATAAGATATACCCTATCTGAGCTAACTCCTATGCCCTTACATCATCCCCTTATATTACCTTACATCATCCCCTTATATTACCTTACATTATCCCCTTATATTACAGTACATTATAACTATATTATTTGACTATATTATGTTAAATATCTTGACAGCATTGCTGCAAGGTGTGCCTGCCATTTGCACAAAGAAAGCATGCAACTGTGCACATTTAGATGACAATCCTGTTTCTACTTTACACTACATGTAAAGTAATGTTCATGCCCTGGAGCCTGTACTACGGTACTCGGACCTCGGACACACCCGCTCTTGTGACCAGATCTCGCAAAGTACAGTTCCTTAAAATCAGTATAAAATGCATGTGACATCCAATATTACCTGTGTTTGAAGCTGTGCAATGATCATTGTTAGCCCTGCTCACTGGGTCCATAAACATTCCTAAAAACCATCTCAGCTCCCAAGGGAATGTGTACAGCTTGGCGCTGCCATTTCATGAGGGAATCTGCAAACCGCTAATCAAACACAACTACATGTACCACAGATCTCTTCTCTCACAAGTTCCCATTTATACACCTGGGTGGAGGAGAGACAACTGGGAGTAAAGTGACTAGCCCAAGGTCACAAGAAGTAACTAAGTAGGTGGATTTGAATCCCCGACCCTATTTTGGGAAGTGACAAACTCTAACCATTTGGACACAGACATGTTCCTTCAAAGAGTCCATACCTACATGTATACGGACGATTCACAACATTGCACCTCCAAGAGTTTGCAACGCGCGAAATTTGTCGACCCTTTCCAAAGGTGCATTGGATCCACAAATTCCGCGCATTGTGATTGGCCAACGTGTTGCAAACTCTTGGTGGCGCACTATTGTAAATCACCCGTATTACAAATGATTATTTAATGCTACCTGGTATGGAGGTGAGGACAATCTCCATGGCCTCCAAATGACCTTTATCTCTATATTATAACGGGTTGTCACGTCTTGTCAGGAAGGAAAAGAATCAGACATCGAACAACAATGAGTGCAAAATGTCATCACTGACCTAAAATTGAGTTGAGACAGGGTACCATCCAGCTGGCAGACAGGCATCATGTTGGAATTGCTTCCTCTAATGTCAAACAATAACTGGGAAGTAACAGTTTTTTTCTTGCAATAAATCCAGCGCTTAAACTTTACAAGGTTCAAGGGTGTGTTCATTTGCTGTAAGGAAACAATTTCCTGGCAGAAGTCTGAAGATATTCACTTAATCCATCAACCAAAACATTTCGCCAGGAAGGTGGTTGTTGCTTGAAATTGGAGTGTGTGAACATTTCGGGTTATTGCACCATAAAAATGGAGATGAGTTTTGGTTGGAGATAAAGGAAATTATTGCAAGGTCAGTGTGTGTCCTCGGGCAACCTCTCCACCTGCCCAATAAGCCAGAAAAGACAACTTTGAGCAGGCCGTTTTGTACAAACCCCTTTAGCATACTTGTTTCAATGCTGATAAGCTACACACATCTCCTCCCAAAGTTACTGAGTACAAAGACTCTCTAAAAAAAAAAAAAAACGGAACATACGTGTATGTGTAGCCTGGTGCAGCAGCAAGAAGCAGCAGTTTGAACAATTTGGCTGCGAGCGGGATGGGCACTTTTTTCCCCAGTCTTTTTCATCCCAAGATCAGACACTCATGAATCACAGTGCCTATCACTATTCTTACTTATTCACCACTGAATACAAGTAAACCTATCATCTTAGGTGTGCGTTCTCAATTTAGGTACATGTACATGTATTCACTCCATTCCAATACTTAGAGTTTTCCTTCATTTCCACACCGCAGAGGAAACATGTCAATACCAATGCCTCACGTATGCTGCTTACTGCAATAACAGCCTCCTTATATTCCAATGCTCTGGGAGTACAATGTGCCTACAATTGTACAAATATACCGCTAAATGTACTTCAAAGACCCGTTGAACCCTTTTTTACTTCAAACATGGATACACATAAATGACCTCAGCAACTCCCACACAATTTTTTCCTCCCCAGGGTGCAATTCCTGGGCAATTCATGATAACTTCTCTTTGGATCTTTGGCTTGGCACAGTATCAGCTTCAATAATAGTTCCACACATAACAACTTTCCCACAAATCACTGTCCCTAATGTAGAAGTTGTCAAAGTGGACCAGCTCATTTTACTGCACTTGTTCCTGACAAGGACTGTAGTGCAAACAACCAACAAGCCTTTTGCGAGTTAAATTTGAATAAAATCTGGTACACCGAGTGATCTGATTGCACATAAACATAACATAAACTAAAGACACTGTTGCCATACTCGTAATTCAGGGCAAGCTTTTGCATAGTGACCACCATCTCTGGAATGGGCTGGTTCCTTTGTGCCCTTCTTATCCACTTAAAACAATGTATTGGTGCAAGGCAAAAGCTTGCCCTGAATCACGAGGTACAGCAATAGCAACAGTGTCTTTAGTATGGAGAATCAAACTGTGATGTTCACATGAATTTAAAGAACTTAGTGTACCAGATTTTATTCAAATTTAACTCACAAAAGGATTATTCTGTTTAAAGTTCCCTTCAAGATCTTCCCAATGTGCAAGAATTCTGTGGCACAAGCTCCACAAAAACCGCTAACTGTTGGGCTCTATAACTTACACAATCCTGTAAAGTCCTTCCAAACCTCCTTGTGGTTTTGAAGGATCTAGAAGAGATAATGATAAACTTACACATGTAGTCCACCCAACTGGAGGTCTATCCTACTAGAGATCTCAGTAAGTGAAGACAGATCTCCCCTTGAAATCTCCATGGCAAATTCCATGCTACTAATTACCCCTAACAGTCCCAATTCTCCAATTTCAATACGATTTTACATACACCCTTGGGGGATATAATGTATCTTTGGAAACGAAGATTTCTACAGCAACATATCAACAAATGGAACCTGTGTCTTACCATATTTCCTAGCTGCTGTCTGTGAGGGCGCTGCCAGTAAACCCACGAGGCAGACTAGTAGTAAATGTGGCCGCAAGGCGGCCAGTGCTGGCCTCAGTTCCATTTCTCTGCGCACAAATAACAATACCAAGGTAATACATGTATTTATAACCAACTTGGTTCGTACAACTTACAGTAGTGACAATGTGAAAAGGAGTTAGTCAGTATTAATCTATAAGGGCATGAACAAAAAGCAAACAGAGGGACTCCGGCCTGTATAACTTTCTGCAAGGCTTCACTAATTTTAGGTCTTTGTTATTCCATACAAACAGACCAGTGCACGTAACAGGTCACAGTCATGGGGGCTAACCATGACTGGCAAATGTACTGTACAGTGTCAAGCTCTGTGGATTCCATTGGGTCCCACTTCAAAGCTAGCCAGTGGACAATATTGCTCAGCCATTTTATGAGCTCAGGACCAGATTAAGCAGGTCCAAAGACCCAGGTCTCTGAAACCAGGATTCCAGGACTTTCTATTATAGCTACCACTGGGGCCATGCATTTCATGTTGACGTTAAACTGAAGGAAGCTGTGAACTAGAGAGTTTGAAGCACTCCCTAAAAGGGAAATTCTGAGAAGGATGCTACAGTTTTTCTTGTGTGTCAGCATGAATGTTAGTGTTTGTGTTTTACTGGTGCATGGCACACCGACATGTATGGTCTTTTGTGGACTCTCAAACTTTTCTTTAGTAGGCCCTCAATATTCTTTGTAGACCCTGGCACAGTGCCCACAGTGCCTGTCGGATACTCTCTAAATTCCAACGAGTGAAAATTCACTCTGTTCGGGTGAAAATTGGAATGAAATTTCTTCACTCCAAATGATTGAAATTCCACTCCACTGAAAGGGGCTATTTTCAGCCTTTTCCAATCTAAATTCAGACTGATTTTCACTCTAAAATGTCTTGTCCCTAATTTCACTCTTTCCGATTTAGAGAGTACCCCGGCCCTGTACATGTCTTAATTAAGAAAGCAAAATCAGTCCATTGCCATTAACAAGAACTGTGTATCTTATATTACATGTACATATAATAGCTGAAGTCCTGTAGCCTTTTGTAGGCAAGAAAATATTCTTCGGAGTCAGACAACATTCTCTGTTGAGGCACCTCCACAAAATACACTTCCACATGTGTCCATTAAAGTGAAAGTGTCAATTTACAGCTGTTAGGCAAGTCATGCACTGTAATTTGTTTGATAATCCCTGATGTATTTTGGAATAACTTTTGACAACTGAGCTCCAGACCAGTACTTCAGAGAGATCTTTTTATCATAAAATGTGAAACTGTCAGAATGATGAGTTTTCCAAGGTTAGCCCCCCCAAAAGAAACACCAGACAAATGTTTTGTTTTCTTTGTGCACACAAGAAAGGCTGCAGGGGACATGGAATCAATTGGGAAAGCCACGCATTGGTAAATGGGATCAAACCTTTTTGTGTGACAGAGTGCATTTCACATAGGCGGTCTTGTTTGAAAAGTAACAGGATATTCATAAAGTTGAATAGGCATCACTGCACACTGGATTTCATCCAGGATTAACATATAAGCCTCTTCCTTCTCACACAATGTTACTAACTGCTTTTCCATTACAAGCAATTTTTTTTAAAAACTGAATCGCCTTAGTGCCAACTGAGCCCATTTGCCATTGTATGGAAATGAAAAGATTCACTCACTATAGCGTTGAAGATGTGTAGAATATATGGTGGTTATGAATTCTGTACCAGAAAAAAATGAATATTTTTTGCCTGTCCTTAGGAGCAGGATAGGTGGACAGAAGGCTATATGACACAGACTGCACTTGCGTCTCAGACATATCCTCACCCGCACATGAGAATTAGAGTCCTCTAATAAAAATGAACACCAGTTCATATTGAGGAGACAAAATCTCTTAGTCCCTCGATTAGCATCTGTCACACTATTAGATTGTCACACTATTCAGGCCTCATACATTGTACCTTTGTTGACTCAAGGATAAATTCAAGGACCCTGACGGAACAATATCAAATTGTGTTCATCTTCCAGTGGGACAATTAAACTTTTGTGTCAAAGAGCTGTCTTTCTATAAATACACCGTTTTTCAACAACATGGACTTCAGGGAACTATAGCTTCTTTTTTTTCACAGTGTTCAATGAGACATGCAACACTTAATACAGCTGTGATTTGGCAAGTTATGCGTGCATGCATAAGACCTTTTTCAGGTGTTGGATTCTGTTGGATTATTAATCCTAACCACCTGGGGTGTACATATATGTAAAATTACATTGAACTGGGAGGATTTGAGACTGTTAGGGCTATAGATATAAGAACTCTTAAAGTTACTGTCAATTCATTCCTAGAGAGAGGAAAGACTGTGCCTCCTAGATTAATGCCCAAGACTTTTACAGATCAGCTTAATTTAAATCAGACAACTCTGAATGGCTCTTTAAGAAGAGTTTTACATTCTGAAAATGACACAACCATGAATGAAGATTACAAGCATGGGACAAGAGTATTCACAGTAGACATATTTCTATCAAAAAATTATATATTCCACCCCAGCAGAAGTCTGTAAGCCCCAGATCTCCCATTTGAAATTTTAACATTCCCACAGCTTCTGAACAAACTTGCTTTCAGTGCCCCTCGAAAAAAAAACTGTGTGCACCGAAGACAAGATTTGCCACCCATCAGCAAGTTTCCACTTGGACGTTCGAAAGTGGAATTCCACTCTACACTGAATAAAGTTGATAACTGCTCACGCATGCAGCCTAGCACTGCAGCAGCCTAGGTCGGATTAGTCACGGTTTGACAAGCATCAATCAAAAAATTTGAGAAAAAGAATCCTCATCAAAATCCTTTAAATTTTTTTTCGAAAACGAACCTCAAAAGCAGTTGGCATTGATGGAGAATTTCAGACCTAAGCTTCATCGGATTCTTATTCAGTAAGCGACTCGCCGCAGTTAACCTGAGCATTTCTACCTTCATGATCTGAGCGAGGCGTACTGTGGAAAAATTGTGGACTTACATATTTCTACCAACATGGAGAAAGGAAAACAGAAGCAAAGATCTTCGCTATACAATCTTTGCTTACAAGTTACATGTGCATCCACTGCATACAAAAAATCTGAGTTTCCCCCATACTAATTTCACCAAAAATAAGTCCTGCGGGAAGCTACTCACCTCGCTGCAGCTGGTTATGAAACTCGAAATTCTTCCAGCGAGCCGAATCCTCAAAATCGATTAACCTCGGTTCTCCAGTTCACACAATTTACGGACACATAACGCCACCATTCCAGTCAGTCCGCGTGGTCAACCTGCCAAAGTCTAGTATACCATTAACGTGCAGGCAATGTACAGGGCCACGTGCGTTGGTCGCGTTCATTTTGCGGTGGGGGCAGTCACTCACGCACAATTACAAAAGACTCACACTTTGCTCCAACGGAATATACCTTTGTTTGTGTATGTTCTTATAATGTGTTTAAGTTTAATGATCGTAACTGAAAAAAGATTCTGTGAACTTTGCTTTTCATTTTTAATTTTGATAAACTCAATTGTGAGTTCAGATCTTCCCCTTTGTTTCAATGTATGGCCCAAAATCGTAACCTGTAAATGTAAGGCCCCCTGCCATTGGTTGAATCTTACGCACAACTCTATACTAGCATATACTCTGGTTCGCAGACGTAGACCAAAACAGACGGTGGGTCAAGAATCCGCCAATATCGCTACAGTTGAGTTTCACGAGCCAAGCCTAAAGTGTTTTTTTTTCAGTAATTCTGTGCAGTCATAGGCAAGTTGTCATAGACAAATTGTCAATTTACACTGGTAAGCTGTGTGTTGAATATAATTTTATATACACCGCGCACCAGGTGAAATCGACCAGACCAGTGGTTAACAAACAGTCGCTGATCGAACTTGCCCTGTTTTGACGCCAACATTGTGAAAATCGAACACATTGTTCTCGCGCAGCGCCCATTTTGTCGAGCCAGATCAGGCCTTCAACTTCAAATGACCGTATGGGCGCGTATTTGAGTTGAAACTCCAGATTTGTACCTAATATAAAGGGTGTATATGCAAGCCAAGTTTGTGAAAAATCAGACATGAAAGGACGGAACATTTCGGGCCAGAATGAGATGATCCCGCCCAAAATCTGGTTCTTTTAAAGTCCAATCCAATAGCCGCTACGGTCTCAAGACAAAATTAGAAGGAATTCCCTCCGTTTCCGAAATTAGCCGATATTCTTCGAACAAATTTCGTCGGGAACTATGGATAACATCTGGGCAAGCACAAATAACTTCTCGTTGCTAATTACCCCACGTGAATCACAATTATGGAACAGTTCCTCAATATTTTGATCTCAATTTTTGTACAACTTTGATAAACCTAAAAAAAAAAAGATATGTGCGGGTCACATCTAAATCTGATAAGAGATATCCTAGACATGACGTCACCTTTTTTAGGAGACAATGGCTATCTGCAGTACGGCAGAAGAACAAGCCTAGCAATTACTAACATTTCGATCAGGCAGCAGTTTTCGTTTGATTGTAACTTTTTAAAATCTCTGCCCCCCCCCATTAACGAGGCGCTGTCTTGTAAGCCTGCTTCAATGTCTCCACTATTAAATAGGTAATTTATACAAGTTTTACTTCAAACACAATCGCTAAGAGAGAAAAATAAAAAGGGAAAACAGCCTTGAATGTTACGGAAATGTCTTATTTCGCCAAACACAAATTTCTTTCACGCACGTCCTCGATACTTTCACGTACGAACATGATAGTTTTAGTGAAACTACTACGTATGTACGTGAAAAATATTACTTGTGTGGCTGTAAGACGTTCCCGTAGAATGCCACTCACTTCACAGTGTCTTTTTTATCCGTTCAGATTTTAGAAGCCATTTCATTACTTTAGTTACATTGGTAGAGGGCGCTGTAATAACTCACCGTCTGTATTTTAAGAAGATGTCGAAATCCCAATACGTGAGTGCGCCAATTGCAGGGGTCCGAAATACATGGTTCTCGTTTTTAAAAATGGATGACCACATACGTAAAAGCACAGCCGACGTAAGACGTGTGTGGTGGTACAATTAGAAACATTTTGCCGTGGCAGAAACGATGATGTACTGTTTTCTGTACTTGTACTTATGTACATTATTACATTGGGAATGGGGAGGCAGAAAGCTTGCCAAATCCGCATATCTCAGAGAAGAAGTGCAAGAAATGCAGCTCGGGTGTTTTGAGCGTATTTCAAAAAGTGAGCGCTCAATTTGCGGTCGTGTGGAAACCCCACTAATGCTCAGTTCTTCGGAGCCGCTTAATTACAGTGTGCATGTGCGAGGGCGGGTGCACAGATATACGTCATTTGTTGGTCCATCGAACCCGTACAAAGTTTAACAGGCGCTCCGTGCCAGGTCAAATTGGGGGAACTCACTCAGATCGAATGCAGGTCGGATCAGGTTTTTATATTTTATGATATTTGAGGTCAGTTTGGCCAATGCAACCCGGACCAAATGCGCAAATGGGGGGGGGGAGGTTCAGACTGTTTACTGGGGGCACTTCCAAATCGCCCATCGACTTCTCCATAAACGCGACCTAATGTGACATGGAAATGTTGACTCCTGTAAATTAATTGCTTTCCCTGTCCAGATTCAGAACTCCGAGTCTGTAATTTATTGGGTTCAGTTTTGTTTCAGATTGAAAAAAATTCTCCTAATAGGCTGTTACTATCGTGTTCCAGGTAGTAGGGTTAGTGAATGAAATTCTTGATTCATCAGTGGAAAAGATTACACAAAAGCAGCCTTTCATATTTCATGTTTACTGGCGATTTTAATGCCAAAACAATCAACTGGAGAGAAGAGATTCAACCTTCCTTATCGCGAATCTCATGTCATCGACATCGCCAATGAACGCTTCTTGACTCGGCATGTTTTAGAACCAACACGTCTTGGACACGCAGCATCGAGGACATCAAAGTGAAGTCTAGATTAATTGATCATGAACTTTAACCTGTTAATTTCAATCGTATCAAAAGCAGACAATTAAACCCTGAGGACAGATTTATCTGTATTCTATCATGATACCCACCCCAAAGATTCAATCAAATCCTCTGAATTGCGTACTCCTTAGAGGGGGGGGGGCAAAAACAAAAGTAGACAGGAATAAAAAGAAACCCGTTTTCACTCTTGTAATGAATACTTAATAACTTATATCGAACAAAATTTAAACCACACTAAACAAAAGATTATCAGCTGGGTCCATTTTATGGTTTTGAAAGGGGGTGGGCAGCATCCATAACTTAATTAAATAAAATGTTCAGAGTTCTGTTCTTGGTTAACTTGAGTGGTATTCTCGGTGTTGTGGACTCTTCAGGGACGACTCTAGATGACACACATAAGGAAAATGAAGAAAAAAAGGCCGGGACTCCTCTGACGCGTCCTCGTGTAGCAGGTTAACACTGCCAGTGCAGTGTTCCATGAGCTCACACACGTGGAACCATCTCCAGAAATGGCCTTCAGGATCCAGAGACTTGGACTCAAGCCCCAAAAGTCTGACGAAGTCGCGGTACCGGACCGGGCAGCATTAACTCCACTCCTCCGTCTACTTCGCGGACGACATCAGACCTCCATGCCTTAGGACGATGAATTCCCTGTCTCGGTTTCCCAGCGCGTACCGTAGGGAATACTCCCCTCGACAGCCGACAAGGGCACAATAATGTGACGCTTGTGGTCCTTATCGTTCCGGTGAAGAGGGATGAAAAAGGCACACCTCATATTTTGCCCCCCCCCCCATGGAACGGGAATTTAACGCGTCGGAGATTCCTGTTGTTCCAAAGTGAATGTTGATACAAAATGATAATAACACTATAAATAATAATTTGCAGGAGACTACTCGCGCCTGTAAGGTCAAGTTGCCTTTGCGGTTTTATATTGAATTTCCCTTCAAAGCATTCTAAAGTCCTTTCCACAAAATATAAGTATATCTCAATACAATTATAAAGAAATACATCATTTAATTAACACATCATCTTAACAGTTCCAAGGCCCATTTTAATAGCACTATATCTGATATTAAGGCCTTTGGTGTGGATTTCCTTGAAAATCACCTCAGTACCTCTACCGGTCTAAATTGGAAAGCTTTGAAGTATGATCTCCAGAAAGCTAAAGACACTCAGAATTCCTTCTAGACTCTCGAAATCATTGTGGATAATAAAAAATAATGATAATTGAAAATTTATAAATCGCCGTTCCCATAAAAAAGATCAACGGCGCAGTACAGGTACAACTTAAAGGGTAGCTGCAATGAATTTTTTGTACACAATTTTTCTGAATCTTTGTACTCTTGTCTATTGTATGAAATTTCTTTTAAACTCCCATTTAGTTAAATGCACTGAAAAGTTTATATTTTTTTTTAAAACAATTAGAATTAGTCATGGAATTGAGGGCACTGTTGCTGTGACATCATCTAGGGAAGACATGGTTTAGTGCATGGGTGTTTCTGTTCAAATTGTGAACCCAGAATTTACCGACTGCAAACATTTCTGCTATGCAAATGAACAACATTGAATCAGCAAAGAAGAGAAAACTGAGTGCAGGAAAAAATATCAAAAGTGCAGGATTTTTTGTGTACAGACCAATATAACATTGAGGCTTCTTCCTGAGATGACATCACAGTTGTGCTCATGAATATGGAATACTCATTAGCATAAAAGAAAAAAGGCGTTAAAATACCCTTTAAAACAATGAAACAGACGTTGAAAATGATGTTAACCGAGGCTGAAAGGTGCATTTTAGAGGTTTGTAATCACAAAAATCAACAGCCACCCTTTAAGGAAATAATGGATATTTAAGTAATGAATGTCAGCACACTTAACTTTCGTCCACCAGACCGATTAGGCCCACTTGCTGACAGGTGATACATGCACCCGACTATATTTCCTTACCAGGAGAATACTATCAGGAAAATCAGGAATAAGAAAACTTTAATTTGACGCAGACCGGTAACTCACATTATCGGCAGAGGTATACACGTGAGCTTTTTTTTTTTTTTTTTGTAAAGGTCAACATTAATAAGCGCAACAACTACTTCCTGGATGTTCACGAGAAAAAACTCTTGGTGGTGAGATTTCGCTTTCATTTCAATCATGTGCTATGCTTTGTGTAATCCTGAACATATAAAAGATATAAAAACTACGATAGAGTCCCAAAACGTATTGAGTGAAACATCCTGCATATGAACTTTAACTCCTCAGATTTCAATTGAAAGTCTTGTCTAAACACAAAGTATACGTCTGATCAATGCACATTTCACCATTCTATTAGAGACCACTGCTGTAATCGAGAAATCGCAGAACGAATTGGAAAGTCCCGGAGTTATTTATTATAAAGTGCTAGAATTCTAAGAACCACGAGGGACGAAAGACAACAAACTTTATACCCGGATCCTTCTTTCTATAGAAAAATACATAGTCGTTTGACACAGGTCTTATCTCCGAATGTGTGTAGCCATGGAGAAAGGACACAGAGGGGCTCATTTACGTAATGTTCCTCCAAAACATTTTTATGTTTTTGTGCATTCATTAAAGGCTGTCCATAATTATACAAAATAAGGCTCGCCAGAAAAGGACTTGAAAAGTATTTCAGAAGTTTTTGACCTTCAACTGTGAGTTATTTTGTACAATAACTCAGGTCTAAACTTCACAGTGATGCGCACCGTACACGACGTGTGCAAATGTCGCGTGCACTGACCGCAGACGTTGATTAGGGCGCCAACATACGGTACAGCTCTCGGTAGGTCTGTATGTACTTTCTTCACAAGATTTTGTGGAAGGCATAAATTTTGCTCTTTCCTGAACTCTGTAAGGGCGCTGGACCTGGACAAACGAAAGACAAGAGCAAAGACGAACGTCTGTCTTGGCGTTTCAAGGGCAACAGGGAACAGTTTACTTGTTCACTTCTTAGCAATAACGTCATTTTGGTGTATAAAAGCTTTGAAGAAATACACTTACCAAACTAACGTGAGGTTAGACACTTTACATTCCAGCCTGGAAGTTACGATTTAGTTATTATTAACGAAAGGCATGAGCTTGACGGGTAAGGATATGCAGAATTGTCCCTACACTGTGATTTAAGCACTTTGAGTGGTTCCACAGTGACATATAAAGATGAATAAAACAGACAAACAAAAATATTTTTGTGCATTGTAGTAGTGTCAACGTGATGAAAAAGGCTTGAAATACCAGGAAACCCTCCGACCTTATTTAGCCGTGTGTGTGGCACATCTAGATTATCTGGGTGGAGGTATTCTCTGGGCAGTGACTGCAACAGCCTGTCAAGTGAGGGTCCGCTCTACCGACTGAGGTCGCTTTTGGACACTTCGGGTATTCTTTTCAGGCCACATTCACCTAAATACGGTTTCATGCATTTTTGTAACTGCCCAAGTACCAATAACTTCCCGTGAGGACAACATGTAAACTTAAAGCGATATGCTCTACTATAGACATCAGGCACGTGTTCAAACTGAAACTTTAAGACGCATTCTATTCCTGAAGTGTTTTTGACTTTCTGTTTCCTTACTTTATTTGAGACATTTACAATCCTCCTGCATCAAACTGTTATTGTAATTTACCCAAAATGAAACGTTAAGGGCAAGTGGGACTGAGGATTCGAAGAACAATCTACATTTCCGACAAGATGTAAAGAAACCCTTCCAAGAAACTTGTTGCTTGAAGGGAAAAAAAGGGGTTCCGACAGGGCCATCGGAGTTTTATGAGAGTGGCAAGTGAAAGTTGGCGGACGATAAAGCTCTTGTGGTCAGGGACAGGATTGAGTGTTCGGGAGGTCGTAGCATGTGGCTCTAGGCACCACTGCTCCGCTGGCCCTCGGGTACCAAGCACAGCTCCGTTTGTCCTCCTTTGATCTATTCATGTAGGCTTGCTGTCAACAATATTGCACAGCTGGTAAGGGCTGAAGGTGTTCAAAGCATTCCCAAAATCGAAATTTTGGACGATAAACTTTTAAACATTTTCCTTACGTTGCAAAAGTGTGTGATACGCACTCAAGGTTTCGTGAGCTCCTTAATTTTTAGACCCTAGGCACAGCGTTTAGTGTGTCAATTGGATGGTCTGTCCGAAAACGAGAGTTGAGAGGAAAAGCTCCCTTTCGTCTTCGAATGGAATTTAATTTTGTTGAACAATCTTGTAAATAGCATATGTGGCAGCAAAAATTTCCAGAGGATAGGTTGAAACGAAAGCATCCCCAGTGAAAAAACATGGGTGTTTTGACAACCACAGCATATGGTCTCGCAACAGTTTGTACGTGTGAAAAGGTTTCGCAACTCAATAAGAACAAAATGTTCGTTACATTGTGGTTTATTCTTTGAATGGGAGTTGACAATTTCCTGAATGGTCACGTTTTCCCGCTCTTGCGGAAGCCTATTAAAACGTAGCGGTTACCCATCTGACGCAATGATACCCGCGCATCTACAGGGTCCAGGTCGGTACTTTACGAGGTGGGCAAGAGACTTCAGGATGGGGGAAATTCCTGGATTCGTATCACAGTTTCGATTGCTCTTTTGCCTGCTGAGGTAGCTACCGTGAATGTCTGTAGGCCCTCTGCTCGAGTGCCGACCTTAAAGGATATATGCAATGAATCTTTCCTAGACTCACTTTTTATGCATCTTTGTACTCTTCTTCAATTTGTGAAAGTGTTTCAAGTCCTTTTGGAGTTACGTCCATTGAAAAGCGCACTTTTTTAAATATTACAAATTGTTCAAGCCTTTCCGGATAAATGAGGGCGATGTTGTGGTGATATAATACAGGAAAGACATTGTTCATGTTACACACATTTTCATGTTCAAATTTTGAACGCCATATTTGCTCTTTGAAAACATAAAACTGGCTGACAGGCTTATTGCCATATACTTACGGAAAGAAAGGGAAATGTACAAGGAAATAAAAATATATTCCAGCAGTTTTCTGTGCAGAAAGCAATACAACTTTTCAGTTTCAGTGCCAAGGATGACATTACAGATTGCTTATGAATGTGCACATTTGTATTAGCATAAAAAACCCAGAAAGTTGCAAAATACTGATTAAAATATCAAAAACAACAATTGAAAATATAATGAAAAGTTCCAAAATATTGATTAAAATAGCAAAACGAAAATTGAAGAGAACTCTAACTTGAACACAAATCTGCCATTAAAAGGGCTCTTGTGAACTTATTGTATTATATGGTCCTTTTAAAGACCACCAGCCAAGACGCAGACAGACTGCTTCCCACTCACAAGAAAAATTACCTTGCAGATCTGTCGGTAAAGATCAGTGGTTTAGAAGCTTGTTTTATAAGCTGATGATCAATGGCTCGATTCCCACCCAGATTATCTTTGTTGCAAGTTGTGTCATCCTTTTTTTTACGTGTCAGCAGTTGGAGTTTTGATGACATTTTAGAAACTTATTGGGTGAATACGTAGTTAGGGAAAAAAATCGTACCCAGTTAAAGAATTGTCGGCTTTAATCCCGCAGAGTCTTCTCGTTCTCGTAGTCATAACATCATGCTTTCATGTTCACCCCATAGTTAGGCCAAATAACAGGTTAGCAGTTCCTTGTCACGTGGCCGGTCATTAATGGTTAGCAAAACATGGGCTGGCTTCCTGTGTCAAATGAAAATGAGGATTTGATCTGGTCCCGTTTCCTTGAATTTGTTCAGCGCACACAATTTCACTAACTATGTAAGATCACTCGTGAGAGGCACTTACCATAAAATGGCGAGAGGGGTGTTTGAGAATAGTAAAGTAAAAATGATTGAAACAAATCATTAGAAATGTAGAAGTCTTAAAATTTATGTTGATTTACTGACTCAAAGGATATCTACGAATGGCCTTTGGTTCGGGCCACTATCAGCGTCCACTCGCTTAATCTGGTCTTAAGACCAGCGTGTTATTTATCAAAACCTGTCACCCTCATCGCAGAAAATGGAACAACAATTACGGAGGGCGATCACGGTGTTGCAATGTTATGCAGATACATTGTGATTATCACGTGGTGCAGCGGTACCCGTATACATGTATTGAGACACGGGCGACCCGAAGTCTGCCTCTTATAAAGCTCAAGGCAAAGAGTTACTCTAGCAGTGTATCATCAGATAACTGCCCACAACTTTTTAAACTCAGTGCAAAACAGGAAACTGTTCTTCCAATTATATATATATCATAACCCCGTGTCTAAACACCTCGTGTAGTAAGTACGACAGGTGAAATACCCCCATCTTCTAAAGCTCACGTTTTCAGCGTTTCGGCGTCGATGACCTTGTTGAGCCGACATTGAACCACTGGCAGAATAGTCGCTAACAATATAACATCATCATATCTGCCCACTTGTGGCTTCCATGCATAAGAGAATTCACTGTTATCCAGTTTTAATACTTTTTGACCATATGTAGCATCTAACAAGAGTGAATCTTTTTTTTCCCCACCGACAGTATCCACTCCGACAACGATGAGTGCGGTTCGTGCCGAACGACCAGCCCTGCAGCAGACCTTGCCGGCTGGAGGGAGAAAGGCCAGGGAGGCTTTTTGGTTTCTGTGGAAAAAACGTAGGTATTGGTTAAAATTTTGGTGACCAGAATACATGAAGTCTTCAAAAAAGCCAGAGAACACTTTAACTTGGATCAGACGAGATGGAAACCTGTGGTGCCGTGGAAATGTGTGTGGTCAAAATGATAGGATAGAGGGCTTGATCTTTAAATCTTTCTCAAATGCAAATTGCATGTCTTGAACTTATCACTTTGAAAAATACCTGCACAAAAACTAAAAGTAAATACGTTCAGACTATTCTCTAAAAATTGCACTTTGAAGTTCTGCTACCTATCACCTGCTCCCAAACTTACCATCTTTTATTTCAAATGTCGACATTTATCTAACCCCGTTTCCACTTCTCCACAATTAATTTTTCATACTTTTCCATAGAAACTGGAAGCTTCTGACAGTATTGCCAATTTACACATGCAGTTCTACACGTACACTCTTTTTTTTTGCAGTGAAATGGCTGGAGGATATGCGTCATCTGTCCAGTTGTTGGAAAAAACCATTCCCGGTTATCGGCCAGGGAACTTTTATTTTCAACGCTGACAGACGCTTTCAGCCGTTCTACATCTCCGTCGAGGACGCAGAAGATGAGTACCCGATGATCGCATTGCACGTGGGCAACGACTGCGCGTCTTTCATCATTCAACGCAAGCGCGACCGATGCCCAAAGGAGCTCAAGCGAATCGACCAGGCGGGATGCGGGGTGGAGGAAGGGAAAGTGTCCTACTGGTACAGCTACGACCGCGACAACCTGGTGCTGAAGTATGGCAAAGGATACCGGATGGAGGAGACCACGCTCATGACGCATGACTTTCTGGCGAAAGCAAAAAACCCAAGGGAGAGAGAGCGCATGAGGCAAGAGATGCACGAGCACTTGTTCCGACCAGATAGAAAGAAGTTCGTCAAGTTGTATAATGAAATGGTCAGAGGACAGTTTGAATGTCGTGAGTAAATATATCTTTATCTTGACACCACAAAAAATACCATACACTGTTTGTTTCGCCCGTCCCTCTCCCCTGCAGGGAACAATCAGGCTCACCACCTTCATTGTTGGCACCAAATAGAAACGCAACAGATATTGGACGGCATTTTCTACGTTCCACATTTGTCACCCATTGTACTTTATAGATCTAGACCAATTTATCATCAAAATTTCAAATAGAAGCAAGAACAGATCTAGAATGATAACAAAAATGGTTAATGGAGACCTATTGACTCTCCTTTTTTGCCAAAAGGCTTATTTTTTTCCGTTAGCCTTAACCGCGTGGTAATTTATGTAACCAGACACAAATGCGCACATGCATTTTCTATAAGTTTCATAAGCTCTTTAGTTTTCGTTCTGCTTTATAGACTAATCCGGTTAGACGCCATAACTGCGGTGGCACCACACTCACACGCACAAAGCTTGACGTGCACGTGCATTTGGCAAATCACGACACCCTGTTGGTCGAAGAGGCATGTAACGCGCGCGTACTACCTGTCCACGAGTGTTGTGCCACCATAGTAATGGTTTCTAATTCTGGTGGTCGAATTACACTATAAGATTGGTAAATAAGATACAAAGCAGATCCGACACATTTGGATCTTTTCGAGGAAAATCTTCACAAATTTTGCTCGTTGCGGGGATAGGGACACGTCGCTCGTTCTCATCGCGCTGATAACGTCAACAATTTCCTTCCTGACCCGTTTCTTTGAATTCACATTTTGTCTATACACTGAGGTCACTGAGGTCAACACCTATAGCCGGGTGGCCACAATGCTTTGCAATGGATATTCTTCTTTACCGAACATATTTTGAAAGATACATGTAACATTTCTAGTTATGATGTTTCTGTGGACGCTTACTTGAACACTTTTGTTTGTCATTACTTTAATTTTGTATCCTGAAATAATGACGTTATTGTTGTGTATACATCTCCAGCTAATTCGCAAGTAGAGGGAGTCGATGTGTTGGAGCCGCTGGTGGAGTTTGACAAAGAGCCTTTCATCTGCAACCTGCCGCCGATGGTTCTGGACAGTTCAAAGGTCAACCTGTTCACCCTGGACAAGGGTGATTACACTTTCTCGGCGAGTCTGCCGTCTGCTTGCAAGGAACTCTACTCGAATGTGGTGGGCTGCGATCTGAATTATACCGAGGTAGAAGGGGAGAAGGTGCTGCTGTCGGATGCGATCCGATACAGCCTGGCAAATGGCGTTCTGAAAGAGAAGATCGAAAGTAAAGTAGGTGAGCTGGGAGATGATCCCAACGAAACGTACTTGCGTGTCACTCTGGGCCACAGTCTCGGAAAATCTCCAGGAATCCCGTATGTGCTGGAGATTTGGCCCGCAGGCCACTACAGTCCCATCCACAACCACGGCAACGCCAATGCCGTCATCAAGGTCCTATTCGGGTCTATTACTATCGATATCTTTAACAAGCAGTCGCCCACCAGTTCCCACGATCCCTTGCTAACCTTTGAGGCGAGCGCGGGAAATGTCACTTGGCTGGACCGCAACTGGTACCAGACCCACAAACTTCGCAACCCTTCCAATGATTACTGCGCTACAATTCAGTGCTACAAATATGACGCAGGCGACACTGCGCATTGGCCCTATTTCGATTACGTGAGCGAACACGAAACAATAGATGAGTTCTACCCAAATTCCGATTTTGACTTTTGTGAAATGCGTGAGAAAGTCATGACCGAATACAAACATTATATCTTCAACTATTTTTAGGCTCCGTTTCGAGAAGAAAGAGAAAGAGAGAATAGACTTAGTATACATTGTTTGGTGACATTTAAAAATGGTTGCCGTGGGTCTGTTCTGATGCATTTCTGGAGTAATATCTCGATCATGCAGAGTGACTTTAATTAAATTCATTGACGTATCCAAGGTAATTAAGTTAGTCAAGTTTATACATATAAAAATATTTCATTAAAGGTCTTTTTTCAAGATTGTTAACTTCGTTCCAATACGCTAATTGTAATTTAGCTTGTGTTTTGTTAAGTTGACGTGGGTTTGACTTTCAATTTGGTCTGATATGATTGACAATAACTTGCTTCTGTAGACATTTCTTATGTTTTCAAACATTGCTGTCATTCTGTACGGCTAGGCAAGGTTAGCAGTTTACTCTTAGTTGGCCATTATGTGGCCTTAAAATACTTTTTTATTTATCTCACCAGTCTTGACAGCAGAGGTATTTTCATTGTATTTAATTGCAAGTACTGATGTGAGATACTTCGTCAATTTCGTCCTGTCTGCCAGTTTACCAACGTCTGTGACGTAGGAGGGGGAGGTATCAGGTGATGTTGCTCGACTTCGGATGAGAGTGTGTTACTCCCATCCGGAAGTACCAGCGAAATACTAAGACCTTATTCATGTGATACAAGTACCGGTAGTGTTTGCATTTACTTGTGTCGAGATGACTAAATCTGACCCTTTAATTTGAAACAATTTGGACTTTTCCCTCGTTTTTGTTCAAAGAGACGAATTACCTATTCAGCGACAGAAAACGTAAACTGTCAACATCACTGTTAGGGTGACTTTATATGAAATCATTTTTGCTAGAAAGTTCTTTCGCTTCAATAACTTGAGGAATAATTAATTATTCTAGTTCTAGTATTTAAATCAAAACGATATCCAAAACTGTAAGAAGCACATTTCAATGTGACTTAAGTGAGCTCATGTTCACAAGAGATGCAACTGCTGAATTTACAATGAATGCCACACTTTAAATGTTGATTAGAAGTACTTATTTCCGACAATTTTACTCTGTACAAGTAAACGTTTATCATCAATAAACTGTTCTTCTCTCAGTAGTGCTGAAAACGATCTGCAGTCAGGATAAATCATCGAAAACATACTTTTTCTCTAATGATGTTTAATTTCGTGGTATCCTTCTGAGATATCGATGTAAATGCTCTGTTCTATTTTAAAGTTGTTTGTGCGCAATTTTAATGTTCTGGAGTTCGAAGTTTAATTAATGTAATAATTATGTTTATACTTGTATAACAAAAGTGGCATTTTTGATTGTCAATCTTTAGGGTTATTACCTTCATATGTACTCATACTTTTTTAGGCGAAAGGATAAGGTCAAGTGTTATGATTCCATTTTCTTAATTATTTTACAAAATACTTATAATTATATTCACATTTAATCTAATGTAATTTAATTGTCAATATTTTCTTTCTTCTGCTTTTTCTTTTTGGTGAGTTTATTCTTTTGTATTTATCACATACTTATCACTGTAAAATGTCTTAATTCGGCCTTTGTTTTATGTTAATTAATAAACCATTTAAAATTCAAAAACAGTTCACATAAAAAAGCCAAACTGCACTTCATAGATTGTCGAAGTTGCAGAAGGAAGATAAATCTGTTTTTAAACGTCTTATTCTTCAAACAGAATTTCAGACATCATTGTGGCAGGTTTAATTGTTATCATGCAAAACTTCTCTGTGATCCAAGGGCTTTAAGTTGAAAAACTGCGTAGGTCAAAAGAGGATAGGCCTAGATGTTTCACGGAGACTCTGTCATCAGAGGTTTTCCCGCAAGCTTTGTATTTCTGTCATTCACGAAACGAATCCGACAGTTGACCAGCTTCCGGAACCCTTAAATGGGCACCAATTCTAGAATTTGCAACTTGAGACGGATTTCAAACCTTTCTCTTGTAAACCACTTTCTGTTTATTCACCACTCCATCACAGTTCAGCATCAGCCCATTTCAAGTATGGCAGACACAACAGGAGGGCGCTATTTGGTTTGAGAAAAATCTTTAGTCTTTGCTCAATATTTACCCACTTAAGATAACGCCCTTATAATGCCTCCGTCATATTTCCAATAGGCTTATTCCCTTTCAGGTACTGGTATCAGATTTCACGTGAAAACTTCAAAAGAAAGAGTAAACACAATCTTATGTTGGAAAACAGGCAGTAATGAAACAAGGTTCTACGTTATTCAAATTATCGTGTATCTGCCCTCGGGTACTATAGGCTTAAGGATGTTCCGATGATTTACTCAAGAACTGCGCGAAATTGAGAAACCGAAGGTATCGTACACGATAGTAAAGAAAACAATGAAACCAAGTGGCGAGTGGCTGAATCCTCGGTGGGTATTCAGATAGGAATCAGTGCTGAGAGAATTTTTGCAGTCTCGATGTGAATTGCGAGTGACCCACACCACCTCTCTCTAAATCACCCTTCCCTAAATCACAAAGGGGGCCAAAGAAACTCACCACTTTCTTGCTCACTGGATGCACCGCTGAGTTTTTGGCAATTCAAGCATTTCAAAATACGGCTTGTAACAGCAACTATCTCAGTATCCAATATAATCCAGCTTGATGAATGCTATTCAAAGTCATGCCACGTTCACAAAGCCAACAAGTCGAGTCCTATGACCACGACGGGGGACTGAGAAGGGTCGGATCTATTCTGACACTGACACATATGCATGCTTGATATACATGTACAGTATATGTACATATACTTTCACCTACTATGTTTGCAGCTAGTTTTCGTCCATGGTTGGGTCCAGCAGTGCACACGGCTGACCTTTGCCTGGGAAGTTCCATGAACGATGCCAGTGACTTGGCACTGCAACCCTCTTTTCGGGACAAAGAAGGTTTGCCATTCTACTGAGTCCAACATGGACTAGGCCTACTGGTGGCGCAGCTAAAAGGTTTCTTGCTGCTATCATCTCTTAGCTTTTTCTTGACTCACAGACAAACTGCAACCGCCCGTCTCGTGCGGAACCAATTACAGAAGCCAGTATACTAAGAAAGTCGGAACACTTCAACTTGAATACCTGCAGTTACTACACGGTTGACCTTAAAAGGACCATGAACTAGAAATATTTTACTAAATTACACTAACCCTTGAAATTGCACCCCAGGGGTTTCAATTAACTTGATTTGAAATTTTTGTTTTGCAAGTTTAACCCATATTTCGGAGTTTGTTTGGTTTTATGCTAATGCATTTGCATATTCATGAGCAAAACCATGATGTCATCCAAGGTGCCGAGCCTCAATGTTGCTCTGATTTGTACACAGAAAATTTCTAGATTTTTTAACGCACTGCTATCGCAGATTTCATATCCTTTGGTAATTTATTGTTGTGTAAGTATACGGCAATAAGCAAGCAAGCAAGCAACCTTTTCACAGAAATGATTTCAGATAGCAAATTTGGAGATCAAACTGAACCATGTCTTTCTTGATTTACAGCAAAGGAAAAGCGTCCTCACTTGTCCAGAAATGCTTGGTCAATTTGGAATATTTAAAAAAGCGCACTTTTCAGTTCACATAGCTCAATAAAAAAGTCAAACAGTCATCTTACATGTAAGAAGAGTACAGAGACACCCAAAAGTGATTAGAAGAAAAATTCATTTCATGGATCCTTTAAGATCAGCAGAACTGAGTTCAGTAAGGTTGTTACTGGGAACTGGGAATTTGTTGTACGCAAAAACTGTACGCCACTCCCCTGACCTCAGGAAGCACACTGCAAAAACTGGGGTGTTAAATTTAACACCTGCGGTGTTATTTGAAGACTACACCAACACTTTTCACTGGTGTTAAAATTTTGGTGTTATTTGGTGTTACTTGTAACACCATCTAGTGCACTGTAACACTTATAGGTGTGCAAAGTAACATCATTAGTGTTAAAGTAACACCCAATGGTGTGGTCATCTGATAACACCTAACAGTGTTGATTTTAACACCCGAGTTTTTACAGTGCAGGATATATGCCAGGTTGATCTTGGTTTCAATCCAAAGCCAGTCATCTGGTGCGGTATTGTTAGGAAACAAGGACAAAGATGATGGTGTATCGCGGAGATCTTTCCAAAATTAATGCGGACGAACAAAGCACTGACAATGTAGTAAGGAGACTCAGGTGTGGCTGAACCTGTGACCCAGAACGTAACACCCATTTTTGAAAGCAATTTAAACCAGCACAACTCGGTTAGACCCAGAGAGAGATAAAACAAACGTTCCACGAGAGAACGACCCTTAAGGAACCCCAATTGCCTAAGAACACACTAACAGTGGTAAAATAATATAGGCCTATATACAAAATGACGGCATTACTTGATACATGCCCAAGAGCACATACTGTATTTGTACACGTACACCACATGCTCAGAAAATAAAATAATAAGACCTAGCATTTGTAACAAAACACAATCATTAAACCCATGAAGAACTCCATGGGGATTCCTTGGATGATTTCTCTCACACAGAGACAGTGTTGATGGTGGCAAAGCCATTTCTATGGCACAAAATTGAGAGAACTTTAGGTGGCGACACTGCAAAGTGTGCTCAGATAGTCAGAGACACTTCGAGAAGAAAAAGATACAATGACTTGCCTAATCAAAAAGGCTATTATTTACTTCATTGCTTCGCCATTTACTATTTATGATTAGTCGAATAGCCTTGACATTAAACTCTAAACTAAAATATAACCATTCGGTATGTACTTTCTATAATAATGGGTACGTTGGAGAGTACAAAATCAGGAAGCATATGCATTATTTATTCCGATGCAGAATATTGAGTAACGACGTCTGATATGAGCGATCCAACAAATCTTCTCAACTTGAAAATGAGGGCGCACTTTCTATTGCTATTATTATTAGGCCTATTATTTATTGCTGGTTATGACACCGAGGACTCCTCAAAAGCGCCCTAGGTACTGTAGCTTGCAAGCCTGAAGGAACTTGTTGACATGAGACAATGAGAAGCAGTTACATTTTTAGTTTTTAAAATCTGAAGCTAATACTCGGCATAATTCCTCGACGGATGAGTGGCTTGTCGTCTATATGTGCGCCCTGGAATGTGAAATCGTACACTCCATTGCATTCATAGAGTGCGCTCAACTAAAAGACCTTCTGAGAAGACATCAACACATTTATCCTTGGCACGTTTACAAAAAGGTAAGGCCGGTAGGAGCCTTCTCCTTGTCATTTGTGGTGAAGTTGCCGAGCCGGAACTCAATCTGCTCACATAGTTGTCCGCTGTCTTGTATCAATTTGAGGCTTCGTCTGTGGTGATAACTGTTTTCAGTCAGTAATCAACATAGATTTTGTTTACGATGTTAACTGATGCTCTCCTAGCACTTGATTGTTTTTATAATGTCGGCAGCACACTTCAGAGCAAAGCTTGCACATGCAAGGGAGGATGTCGCATCAGACAAGTGTATTTTAAACCTGCATTCACCTGGCTGTTTCTCTATTTCATCTCCTAACTATCATAAGAATCTGAAGTAGCTGCGGTCATCGACACTAATGAAACATACCATCAGGAGCTTCCTGTATGCTGACGACCTCTGAATCGCCCCTCAGAAACCATCCTTTGAAGAGGTTGAGAAGTCACACAGTGATGCTGTGGAAGGACTGACTCTGCACTATGCTGCCAACCATCTCCGGGCCAATCCTGAAAGAACCCAAATCATCGTTCTTTCATCTGAAGAACACAGCTGCAAACATGCAACTGAGGATCAGATGGCATGGTAAATGGCTTGAGCATTTCCACAAGCCGGTCTACCTTGGTGTAACCCTGGATTGGTCCCTTGCCTACCAGGACACATCTCAAAGACAAAGGCAAAAGTTGGTGCCAGGAACAACATATTGAAGAAGTGGGCTAACATCAAATGTGGAAACGGACGACAAAACCACTCGCACAACAGTTCTTGCATATCCCCTGTGCTTCTCCACTGCCGAATTTGCACTCCCGTCTGCAGTACGTCACCCAATATTGGGAAGATCAACCCACCCTTGAACACCGCGTGCAGAGCAAATACTGGATGCCTAAGACCAACAATAGTACCTGTTGTGTGGCATTGCCCTCATCATGTCAGACAAGCTGTTCCTTTAGAGATGGAGAAACAAAAACAGGTGATAACGGCCCTCTTCACGACTACTCAGCCCAAGAGAGGCTCAAATATCGACACAGCTTTCTACACTCCGTCGACCCTCAAGACGAAAATGCCCACAACCGAAGCATGATAGTGGGGTCCAATCACCTCCAGGGAAGTTTACAAAAGCTCTCCATCAGCCTCAAAGTAGCCGTGCTTCCGAGCTCAAATGAATCTTGAACCATCTGGTCATGTCTTATCCGACTGAGGACAGAAACTGATCAGTGCTAAGCCGGCTGATGCGGGCACTGAGACACGCTAACGAACAAGCCAACTGTGATTGTGGGGAGGAACAGACAACGGCGTACCTGCCTGTCTTCCCCAATCTACCCAAGCCATGTACTCCTGAAGATCTTGAGAAATTCACCCCTCAAGCATTATCCTGTGTCCAGCACTGGACCGGCGCTGTGTAGTGATCCGAGAAGAATATTGCATCGTTATCACATGGCAATCCCGCAGTATTAGTTCATGTAACTTTCTGGATGAGATATTAAACTTTGACCAGTATAGTGGAAAAGCTGAGGTCGACTTCTCTACCATAAACATCAAGCTGTTCCAGAGTAGAATCCGCGAAGAAACATCCGTCTGAACGTTCATCTTATGGGCACAGACTATCACTTTTGTAATTGAGTCACTTGTGGAGATGCCAAATAATACAGAAACAATAAGGGAGTGGGATTAGCTTTCTCCTGCACAGAAAGCATGGACTTTTTGTGGTAGATTCAACAAGCAATACTTCTTTGCTGATGTCGGGTGATGGCAGCCACAGTTCTCACATCGTTTCTTACATAGACAATATTGTCGCCTGTGCTTCAGGACACTCAGGCAAAGGCCATTCTTTCTGTTTATGTTGCTCGCTGGATTTCACTGCATTAAAACCACCACATGATTGCAGCTGTTCCTGAGTTAGCTTGAAAAGTGAGAGGTTGCATGCATTTACAAAATCGGTGTCTTTATAAACAACTGTGTTAGATACAGCTCTGTCCGTGGCAGAAAGACAGCGCCATCAAGTGGCGACGTTAGGACATGCTCGCCGGCGGTTGCAAAATTATTCTTAGTACATTTATTCTCTTACCTCTAATAACGGCTTCTGCAAAAACAAAATGTAAATTAATTCATGGAAAATGACAAATCACCTGACGTGAAAAAATACCGTGTAAAAAAAACTTAGCTGTCTTACGAAAATCTGAAATATGTGATATTTAATTGTTGTGCAACCCCGTGAATATGTATACTCGTATAACTTATATCGAAGTATATGGCGACAATGGGGTGAAATCTAAAACAATATGTTCCTTCGGGTTTACGTTTTATTTTGAGCAAACCTAAAAGGACTGTTTAGCATTTACCAAAAAAAGTGAAGTGATCACAGTCAAGAACTGAACCTTCGCAATGTTTACCATTCTCGTTCTCATAAAAACAAAATAATGTGCACCAACAGGCGACCTACAATCCTGGACAAAATAGTTGGAACACCTTGTTGGAAGCACAGTGGAAAGCTCCTCCCTTCAGAGAGTAGGTTCAGAGAGTAAGGCAGTATTCAAGATTTTTTTTCAAAAATCTGGACTATAATTCTTTGGCTGAAAAGTAAAAGTCTTTTAGAAAAGCAATTTTATTTTCCACAGAACTTCAAACAACTGCATGACTGGCGCACCAACATCTTACTTCTATTGGCTCCACTTGATTTCACGTGAGATAGGATAATCCCCTGCATGTTAACCACCGATAAATCACGTCATGAAATCCTGTTTTTGACACATTTGAAAGGTTACAAAAGACAACAGACCTGATAATTACCAAGGAAAATATACCAATCTTTATTTACTCTAAATTCAATTCCATTGAGAGAAATAGTTGACCTGTTTTATTATACTGTTTAGAAAAATCGACACGGCTTGCATGACGCAAAAGTGTCAGTCTAAATAAACTTCCAAGGACAGGAATTTGTCACAGAAATAACGGCAGCGTATCTTACTGCCCAAATGCACATGATCCTAAAAGTCACACTTATGCTCAATTATAGTTTCCTACTACTTATCTGGACTGCCAATGCCCATGTCAGACGAACACAAGTATACCAGTAACCAGTAATAACAGCGAATATGTCTAATTTATTGAACAATTTTTTTCTTGGGGAGAAAAAAGGGAAACTGACACACAGCACAGCTTAAATTTAAGGTGGAGTTTTTTGTTGGTACCCCTCATATTGTTACATACAATCAAAGAGGTTCGTATCTCACTAATTTATGATTTCGTACGCATACAATACGGGCGATTCGCAATGGTGCGCCTCCGAGAGAATGAAACGCGTTGGTCAATCTCAATTCGCGAAATATGTCGACTCAATCCAAACGCGCCTTGGGTCTACAAATTTCGCGTGTTCTAAAAATGAATTTATCTGTCCGAGACTGCATCTTTTTTCACCCCAAATGTATCAAGGGTAACAGTAATTCTGATACTCTTCTACATAATGTAGCATGGCAAATGAAGAAAAGAAAGCCAACTACTCACACAAATGAAACCAATCAAACGACATACACACAACTCAATCAAATCTCATTTTGACTGATGAAGCAAACCAAACCAATTTCTAATCTAACTCGTTCCACTACAATAAAAAATAGTCAAATCTGATAAACATCAATCGATAATAATCCTGGTATTAAGACAACACCTACCGACAACCTTTTTTTTCAAAAATCTCTTAATACAACATTCAACACTGCGCATAAGAACCAATGGAAACCTTTCGCTCGTTCCCACCTTCGTAGAAGGTGCTGGCATGGACCAATTTCTTTTAATCTTCAGTGTAGTTTAATGAAAAGGCTAAACTTTATGCGCAAGCTAAAATAAGCACGCAAAAAGGTAGTGTGCTACCTACAAGGATTTGCGACACCTGTACTTCCCTTCCATTTACTTGCCATGGGCACTGTATTGGGTGATGAGGACAAGAAAACAGAAAACTGATAAAAATGTGCTGAAGAAAATAATCTACACAGCATATATTGGGCATTCTGTAGAAACTGAAAAATTTTCAGCGAGAAAATTACGAACTATTACCGTACACATAGGCAGTGTATTCGGCCATAACTTGCTCGCGCATTTCGCTGAAGCCAAAGTCGGAGCCTGGGTAAAACTCATCGATGGTTTCGTTTTCGCTCACGTAATCAAAATAAGGCCAGTATGTGGTGTCACCCGCGTCGTAATTGTAGCACTGGATAGTGGCGCAGTACTCCTTAGATGGATTGCGAAGTTTGTGGGTCTGGTACCAGTTGCGGTTCAGCCAAGTGGCGTTGCCTGCGCACGCTTCAAAGGTTAGCAAGGGATCGCGGGAACTGGTGGGCGACTGCTTGTTAAAGATATCGATAGTAATAGACCCGAATAGGACCTTGATGACGGCATTGGCGTTGCCGTGGTTGTGGATGGGGCTGTAGTGGCCTGCGGGCCAAATCTCCAGCACGTACGGGATTCCTGGAGATTTGCCGAGACTGTGGCCCAGAGTGACACGCAAGTACGTTTCATTGGGATCATCTCCCAGCTCACCTACTTTACTTTCGATCTTCTCTTTCAGAACGCCATTTGCCAGGCTGTATCGGATCGCATCCGACAGCAGCACCTTCTCCCCTTCTACCTCGGTATAATTCAGATCGCAGCCCACCACATTCGAGTAGAGTTCCTTGCAAGCGGACGGCAGACTCGCTGAGAAGGTGTAATCACCCTTGTCCAGGGTGAACAGGTTGACCTTTGAACTGTCAAGAACCACCGGCGGCAGGTTGCAGATGAGGGGTTGCTTATCGAATTCCACCATCGGCTCTGTCACTTCGATTCCCCTGGCTGTAAAAGGAGAATTCACACGATCATTATCTGTTACAAAACACGCACAAATATTGAAGTCTTTTCTGTGCACATACCAACGGGGAAAATTGCTGTAAAGGTTTACCTTTAGACTGTTTTAGCGTAATGGTTTGCGCAAACAGCATAAATTTTGCCACTTCATCGGTCAATGAAAATATACTTGCCAGCACAAAGTGCCACGTTGGCCTTCTCGTCATACTGCCTGATGACTTTCTTTCCCTCGGCGTTGAAGAACGGATACAAGTCCTCCCTGATTCTCCGGATCTCTTCTTCGTCTTCCACTCCCTCCAGAAAGTCATGCGTCATGAGCGTGGTCTCCTCCATCCGGTATCCCTTGCCATACTTCAGCACCAGGTTGTCGCGGTCGTAGCTGTACCAGTAGGACACTTTCCCTTCCTCCACCCCGCATCCCGCCTGGTCGATTCGCCTCAGCTCCTTCAGGCTGTCGTTGCTCTCCCCGTGCATGACGAACGATGCGTACTCGACGCCCACATGCAGCGCGATCCAGTTCCCCGTCGCGGTGCCCTTGTCCTCCACGGAAGCGTAGAACGGCAGGAGGTGCCTATCCGTATTGAAAATCATGACTCCCTGCCCGTTCACGGGGAAAGGCTTGTGCCAACGTGGCGGCATCTGACGAGTGTCCTCTGCTGGTGCCATAGCTGTGAGGGGAGCATAACGTGGATTTAAGTGGGAGTTATTCCATTGCTTATTTTTTTATTTTTAAGATTACGTTGTCGAACGACATGTGTATCTGTTAGCTTTCCACAAAGGTAGAGATCTAGCAAAAGTTAACGCCGTAGAACGTATAGCTATGCATGATATATTTTTGAACATCTGGTTTTTCGAAAAATTACCTCTGCTGGTCGAAGCAAAAGCCGCCTTGGACCGCTTCCCGCGTGGTGCCGAGGTCTCACGCAGAGCCGGCCGCTTAGCACGAACCTGATTCATCTTGGTGAGTGTAAGGATGCTGTAAGCGTTGAACAAACACAACACTTGTCTTTTTAAGCTGCAGATCTAACTTTGCAGATTTACAAATACTGAAATTCGATGACCAGTATAAATTCAACTCGGGCAAATTTATATTTAAATCAGTAAATCAGTGCTGGTCCATGCGTAATTATTCACATATGCACATGTAAAACTTTTTCATTTTCAATGCTGTCCAAATAAAACTGCATCAATCCACCTATCCTACCACCTGTTAAATATCCACAATCCTAACGATTTTCACTTGTACCGGAGTGGTCTGGCCACAGTGAGTGAGACTGCTACATGCAAAGTAAGCCGAGTTTAAATTAACAGAGCGCGTCAAATAGTTGTTGAAAGATTGAGGGGTTCCAAGGGGAAATTAACCAGCAAATTGAAATACGTGAATGCATGTTTGAACAGTTTCGAGTAGACTGTGGCTGGAGGAAGACAACGAAAGCAAACTTACCTGTGCTGCTTGTGAGGCCGGGAGAAGGGGAATGCGATTGTTGTCTTGTTGATGTCTAGACGTCCAAGCAGGCCGGCGGCGTTGAGAGAAAGGTATACCTGGATGGCCTCGTTTTATATGTACAGGGCAGGCATATACATCACGTGATCGTGCTGCTGCAAAATATGCCCTTAAAAGGATATTATTTATCTGCATACTAACTGACAGCGCCTAGCCTTAATCAATCATTTAGGACTAAACTGAAATGACGCAGAGGTGTTAAAAAGTTGCCCAATTCTAACAATTCCTCGACAATTTTGAGTTCCCGAAAGTCGCGTTTTTGTGTACTTTATAAACGCGCAGGTGACAGTGCAGGACTGTCAAATAACACATCAAGAATAGTAGTAGGATAAATGTTTTTTCCCATGACGTCATTGTTGTTAACCGCACTCCCTGTATGCCCTATATTATATAAAACTGATTTCATTCTTTTGATGCTATGTGATGTCGGGGGACGACATGCTGTGAGCTATGAGACTATCGCGTACGCCCGCTCCAACCGCAGCAGGCTGCATAGTCATAGACATGGAGGTGTTTTTTTCTCCTCCAGCTAAGTCTATCATACAGTTGACCCCAGCTTGCGAAATCCAGGTACGGCGTTTGTCAATTCCATGGTCACCGTACCTGTAAGCAGAATACAGTGGTGTGAGCGTGAGAACTTCTACTTGACAGATTGGACGAGTTTGATATATCTTCAAACTACGATTTGTCCTGAACGATTAAACGATCCCAAGCAAGAATCTGTAAGATTTTTCCCCATACAGTAATACAGACCGGATAGTGTTAAGGTCACATTTGCCTCTTCATTGACACATCTGGGTCGTTCTATGAACTTGGGTTCCCATTCCTCTCATGTCCCTGTCACATCTGACACATGATTTTTGTAAGTTTACAACACATTCTCCATTTAAAAGTGATTAAATTATGAAAACTACGCTACCTGCCAAACAAATGAAAATAGTTTGAAATCAATTTCAGTAATATTTTCATGTCAAATAACACAGCTAAGGGTCACAACAGTGACGCACGTCTGGATGCCGAATTTATGACCCATTTTGTGAAGTAAGCCTCACGCAGGCAGTCGTTGCGTTCAAAAGACAAGTTTGTAGTTTTCAAGGCTGCACAAATACAATAATAAGACTGATGCGTAAAACAGGATTATACTATTTGGAAATGCGACTGTATTGACGTCTTGGTTTGCCTGAAGACTCCAGTGTCTTAAAAACAGAACTCCACAAAACGTATTGTGTTAGTCGGAGCAGTTCTTACGAGTATTACCTTTCGACGAGGACTCAAGATATCGATTTATCGACGAGATCCGATGTTATTGTTTGAAACATTGCACTAGGCTTGCAAACGCTAAAATTAGTTACAGCAATGTTGAATCCGACACTTAAAATGAGTGCGGTTAATGACCACTTTTTGAAAGTGTTGAATCCAACATTTGCAATGTTTAATCCAACATTTTAATATCAGATTACAACTGTTAAAGAGTTAAATGAACAATTTAAGTGACAATTCAGCAGTTTTCCTTGATATTGTGAATTATCATTAAAACGCTGGATCAACAGTTTGAATGCCGACTTTGAAATTGAAATTGTTGGATTTCATATTTAAAAAGGAGGACTCAATACTTTCAAAAAGTGGCCAATGACCGCACTCTAGAGTGTTGAATTACATATTGCTATCAAAGGTTAGTGGAGTCTGAATTTGCGGCTACGATGCCAGCCACGATGAATAACCAAAACGTGACGTCGTTTCGAACACAGCTTTGTAGCGGGCCAACAAAATCCAGGCTAAAACAAAGTACCGGTGTTTACACGCAATTACCGGTACAGCGTGCCGGCGTGTGATTTCAAATCACGTGCAAACGCTTATGTCTAGCATTGAAGAAAACTGTCCCTTCGTGAAAATGAAAAGCTTACTTGCAAAAAAAGTAAAAACTGTGTAAAACTGTCGCCATTACTAAACGGCCAGAGTGCGTATTCAGCATAGACGCCTTCCTGGATCCAATCTCCTGTTATCGGGATAGGTGCGGCTGGCCCCGTCTATTTTTGAACAGTGTCAGGGAAGAAAGAGCATGTTCATTTTGAAAGCAATAACACTGATCGGCTGCCCAAGCGCTACCTGAGGACTCCGCCGACATGGTGTAATATACAGCTCTTTTGAGGATCGACCTGTCCACAGAAACAATTTGCAATATTTTGTATAAATTGAGAGCGGCAAGGCAAAACTGCCCGGCCTTTTTGGGGGTGCGTGGGTTGACTAGGATTATCATACAGATGAAGCAGGCTGACAATCACACGCAGAAAAAAAATCCGATTTTTGGCTCCGTCTCTCAACTCCAACCCAGGATATGCAGGAATAAAGGGAATGGGAATAAAATATGCTTGACTGGTCTTAACCCCAACTCCCTAGGGTGTAGGCCTATGTAAAATCATATTGAAATGGGAAGATTTTGGACTGTTAGGGCAATAATTTATAACGATTACAGGGCAATAATTTATAACGATTACGACCGGATCAGGAGACTGAACGCTGATTATGCCCGAGACGCAGCCCATTCTCCTCAGCCAGTCTTAATCATACCTTTCAGACCAGCCAAGCACATATTTAATCCCCTTTTTATATCTACTTTACAACCAAAAGCGCCCGTCATTAATCATCTGGGTCTGGAGTGAAATGCCGCAGGGGTGTTAAAAAGCTGCCTCGACAATTTTAAGTTCTGAAAAGGCGCGTTTTTGTGTACTTTATAAACGCAGTCAATGCAGGACTGTAAATTTGACATTCATATTGACTGCAGGATAAAATCTTTCCTTTTCACGGCGCCCTTGTATAAAATACTCCCTATACGTAAGTCCCTGATTTCATTTTTTTCGTGCTATATGATATCGGAGAGAGGGCATAATGTGAGCCGCTCGCAACGGCACGGGCTGCAGGCAGCTGAGCGAAACCCGAGGATCACTGGTACCCGTTATACAGCCAACGTGGAGAATTTCCACTTGACAGATTTGAAAGGTTTGACGTTTAAAAAAAACGATTTGACCTGAACTAGGGAAGTTCAAGAAAAATACTGATTTCCAAAATAAATTATCCCAAAACACTCAATTTAACGAGAACGCGTTGTGAAAACATCGATTTCAATGACAATATATATCTCTGAAATGCAAAATTCAAAGATAACGTATCTCGGAAACATGGAACTCAACAGTAATGTATGTCAGAAGCCGGAAATCAATGATAATGTCATCGATTTCCGACATACATTACCGCTGCAGCAGCTGAAATTCAAGTGATCTGCATATTGACATTTGCTCGCCCTTGTTATATGACCGTAATACGGAAGCTTAAAGTGACCACCTGCATATCCACGTTTCCAAGACACATTACCACGGAAAGACGGAATACCCTGATATTTTGGATATGCTTCCCAGATAGTATGATTGATATAACATCTTTGAAAGACGAGGAAAAAGTCTTTCCCATATATCATCACAAACAAGTTAGGCCTAAGGCAGCTGAAAGTTTATCAAATTAAGTGATTTGCACATTGAAACTGCTTGCCCTAGTACTTACATGACCAAGACATATTGTGGAAAGACGTCTTTCAGACAAACCATTTTAGATAAAACTTAAAAGAAACAATTATAGGGGAAAGAGGTCTTTCCGAGATACATCAGGGTAAGACGTCTTTCTTACATTAAGTATCAGGGAAAGACGTCGACAAGATCTCCACATTCCGTCTTTCCAAGAAACTATATTGTGGAAACGTCAAAACTCGGATGGTCACGTTCAGCTTCCGTTGTGTCCGCAGTTTTGGAGATCGAGACCAAGTAGACTTCTTTTTTTGATCGCCGTGACACACTGTGCTCCAACACGAGAAGTCAAGCGATCGTTTCAACCCACAAGAATTTCCACTGAAACAAAACAAACAGTAGCCTCTACGTAACTTCAGATCTTGCATCAACGTTGCATTTTTCTTTATTTGAAGCTCATAATTTGTACACTTGTTCAAGGACAGCAATATTGTGACAATTTGAATTTGGCATTTCTGTCAGGATATCACCAAGATATAATTTGAAATTTCAATCAAAACGGCTCGGTGTACAACTACACAATAAACTGGTGAGAATTTCCAAGTTCCCCCCCCCCCAAAAAAACCCAGGATATTATTTCGGACACGTCAATTAAATTTACACAGTTCAGAAATCAGTGGAAGTACACTGTCGGAGGTTATAAGAAATACCATTCGAATTCCCTTTAGTTTTGGGGAGAATTACAACCGTTCAATCCACAGACTTGAATTATAATAAATGCATTTTTTCGATAAAGAGGGGGAAAACAGAAGATACATATTGAACAAACTGATCTGAGCACATTCCGTCATGGTGCCTTGGTATCACCGGGACAAAAATGGTGTTCACCATAAGGAAGCTTGGTGAAAATGTCTGTCTTTTAAATGCCGTGCAATGAATCCGCCGACCAAAACTTACAATATGAACACAGGTATTATAAAAACCAAGACAATCTTAAAGCTATTATCCGGCAAATGAAACAAAGTATTGTTGCACCAGTTTACAGAATATCGGTTCAGTGTTTAAAGTAAACATACGACACGCCAAACAACCGGGTTAGGAGTTACGTTACTCCGTAAAAGATGACCGAAATGAGCATACACATACATGTACATATAAAGATTTAATCCCAACACTATAAAAAATTACGGCTAGGTATGAAAGTTGAAACCAGAGCACTATGAGACTTGTCAAAATGGATCAAAATTTGTACAACTCCCAACAACCTTTAGTTGTCTGTTTTTAATACACCAAGACACGGTACGCCCCTTAGTAAAGTATCCAAGGTGTTACACCTCTAGCTATCACAGCACCGAGCACAAAATTAGGAAAATATGGAGCTGTAGATGTCTACTGTGTCTATTCCTCCTGACATTTCGTGTTACTCCTAGGATTTGATGCTTTTCAATGGCAAAACCCAGACGAGTGAAAAATATTTTTAAACATTTAGTCGGGGATCAAAATAGACAACTTTACCACAAGGGACGAACCAAGAACCAATTCTTTTTTGCGGGGGGAGGGGTTAAATAATTTGGAAATTTCCGCATGTAACCCTTTATGGCCTTTCTGTAGGGTGAGACTGAATTTGAGGGCATTTACCACGGATTAAAAGGGAAAGGGTATGAAACAAAAAAATCTCTTTCATTATTAAAACAACATACACACACACTTTTGGGAGGGGTTGGGTGGCCATGGCCCCTGCTGCCCCTTTGCTTTGCCAAAACACAAGCAGCAAGGTTGTGCTCTAGTCCACATCTGAGCAAACACGGACATGGTAGTGGAAAGAACAACCATGACAGGAAACTTCCTCGTGAAAGTGACCAAAAAGACTCTAGTACGTCCTCGCAAGTTAGCAGCGAATCAGAGCTTTGCACGAGGCATTCATTTCTGTTGTCAGAGAATTCAACATAGAGTAACCTCATCCAAAATGTGCCCCGGCCCTCTCGTCAAGGTTTATGTGTCTGAGGAGGTATTTTGCAACTAAAAAAATACACCAGAAGACATCTGTGGAGTTTCTCATTCAGGTAGTATATGCAGTTCATGTCACCTCGCCTCAACTGTGAAACTCAAACTCAGCTACAAGAATACTACATGTATATAATACCTGTAACTATATTGGCACAGTGGTATTTGAAAAAAAGATTATTACCATTCACAATATGTTCAACACATGCTAGTCTTGGGCCCTGGCATGAATAGTACACAAAACAGTTCAATTTGACTTGAAAATAAAGTATTCGTTTAACGTGAAAAAAAGTTAACGCCAATGCTATATTCAAATACATCAGACATAAATAGTGACATTTGAACTCAAAGTGTTTTACAGCTTCAACAACCTAATGTTGAGAATGGCATCTATTCAAGTGACGCTAGTAGTAAACTAACAGTGGTTTGCTGGGTATCAATTTTGCCTGCCACTCTCTGAATCGAGTCAAGAGAGGCCGCTCTTTACATTTGGAAGGACAGAATTTATATTGAGAACATTTAATAGCCTGCAGTCTACTGCAGTGCACAACATAACAGACAAATGCAGTTTTTCCCCATTCTAAAATTACCCTCGATAGGCTACCTAAGAGGGGAAAAGTGGGAAAATTGAAGAACAAAAGTAATAACATGTTGTTTTGTGGCTGCAACTATTTAAGAAAACGTAACAAAAAATTCACCGTTTTGAGTATAGAACTTTTTATTTTTTTTAATTTTTTTATGATATAATCGACAGTTTCACACAATACCTCATACTCATTTTCACACACAAACCTCAAGCACACCCGCTTGTCACTCAGAAAAAAATTGCTCACTCACTCACATGATAAATAAACTCAGCATATAAGTACTGAGATACTCTCACATTGCACCACTTAAAAGCCATACCTTCATACTTAATATAAACTAGTTAAACACCAAAAATTTGCATATTTTTCATTCTTTTAACCTATTTAACCACACACAAACACTCTGTATATCTCACACTGTATCTCTGACCCCCTCCCTCTCCCCGTCTGGCACACACTACAGCCCTCTCACCACTGAGAGAATTATAAGGCAGCAGCGTTGATGTCGAGGCCTCTTAAGACCAGCAAAAGACCATCACAAGAGCAAAGGGCAAGTCACAAAGGTATTCAACTGAACTGCAACAAAAGCAGTCCCGTGTAACTGTTCACCATCGAACTCGTGACTGGCATTGTGACTGGTCTTACGATTGTCTTGACTCGGACTACAACACTGTAAGGCAGTAGGATATGGAAGCATGTAGAAAGAGACTGACTTGGTAATAAAAAAAAGATCTTGGCATTGTTTAATTCAACAGCCACTGGCAAGAAGCGTATACACGTACTGCAAATGTAGGAAGACTATCCAAAAGTCTTCAACCACCTGAGTATCAGTCCCTTTTTGCTTTATAGTATACATGTAAGCCGAAATGGCCAGCTCAATGAACGCACATGTTTATGTATATACTGCTTTCTGAAACGAGGCATCTGAAGAAAATACCGTACTACTTTCATCTACGTGACAAGAGCATACATTTAATATTTTTTCGGTGCTACAAATGCAATCTCCGACAAAAGCCATACACCAACATGCATTCGTTTGTGGCATTTTTAGAATTCAAAATGTGACCTACTCTGTGTGAAAGCACGGACCATTTACCCAAATTGAGCTGCAAGTCGCCAGTCCCTCGAATCTTGCGCCATGGGAACCAATAGGACCCATCGACTTTTTTTCACCCACAATATGGCCATTTTCACATCAACAGGGCAGGAACTTCGTTCTTGAAAGGTCAAGGCAATTTCTCATTCGCAAAGGGCACTTGTATTACAAAATCAACTTGCCTATGAGGGCATTTCAATGGGTAACGAGGCAAAGATCAGGAACCTCGAGGCAACCGCCTCCGTGAAGTTCCTGCCCCGCACCAGGATGCCACAGTGAGTGACATATCAACACGAACAGCTAGGCTTGCCTTTTCTGATGCAAACTTTGGGGGAGTCACACATTTCCCAGTAAAACAAACAGCACAAGCCAAAAGTCACTGCAACTCATGGAAGGGAGCCCTGCATGAAAATTCCAAGACTTCTCAAACATTTCATCCTTTTGATCCCTTTTCACAACTTTTTTTATGAGATGGTTTTGTTCCCATGACAACCCTGCTTATAGGATGGATGTTAATCACACACTATAATAGCAGACTACAGTCAATATATTTCGAAGGTGAAACACTGCGAATCTATTGTTTTAAAGAGGAATTTCAGGAATACCCTCTCATGCACTGCATGTAAAACGTGGGTACCTTCAAAAGTCAGTTGGAAGTTAGGCCGTGTCCAGATAGGGCATTGTTGACTAGGGCTACGGATATTCACTGTAGTACGTCAATGGCAACAATTGAAGCCATAGCCACAGAATATGCAATTCCATGTCTGGTATCCTGACGCATTTATATTTGAATTCCCCAGACATGTTCTTTGTTGGTATCAGCTAATTAGGGCGAAATCTCAAGTCAGCAATTTCCAGCTCGTGTAGTTTTGCTATTGTCAACAAATTATCTGACCGTGAATGGAATTCGATAAATTGAAGTACCATTTTGGCTTTAAGCAATGGCATAAAAATGAAACAAAAGACCCCTCATACAGAAATCTTTGCAGATTCCGAGTCCATTTTTTTCTTCCATGTTTTGTTGAATGAAGTCAAAAATATTCCGCGACTGTCTGCATCTTGAAACGGTGCATAATGTTGGCAATAGTAACGACAACGCACATTGATCACATCAAAGCCAAACTGACTGTAGCAACCAATAGCTGCCAGATCCCACAAAGAATTTGTCATGTACAGGTGCAGTAGTCTGCAATATTTCTGCATTTGAGCCTCGTCATTTTTACACAACAGTCACACACAAAACACATGTGCAAAATATCATGCTGATCCATGGGCTCTCACAACACGCATTGACCCGGCACAATGCGGAAAACAACCACTAAGCTACAATAGTTGGTCTTTTCAGCCATTTTAACTACAAAGTGGACACACTTCTTCAGCACAATCTGTCACTGCTTATGCTACAAATAAGAGGTGAAAAGGGTTTGTGAGATGGCGGCCATATTGCAAAAAGCAACAAAAACAATAAAAATGACTTATAAATCTCAATTCATTTGTCAACTGATTAACATTTAGTAGGGACAAGCAATGTCTGGTTTGATTTGTTACAGTAAAGTCCTCACACCTTTAAGTAAATTTTCTTGCCATCAACTCTTGTCATCAAAATGCATACTGGATGAACGCAAGGCAAAAACGCGCAGACATACGATTAAATTGCTTTCAGAATGATTTTCCAGCAGAAGCATTGTGAAGTCCAGCAAATTTGAGAGAAAATACTAAATTTTCCCTCATTTAAAAAACCCCTCCTCAAATGAGCATCTCAAAAGTCTTTTTGAACGGCTCAACACGAGGTGAAAATCATTGTTTTCCATTCTTTCTTCTCAGAACGACACCTTCGTTCTCTGCACATTCTCTGTCACGCTATGTGGCACCGCCTGTCACACAGGAAGATATCTGGACCTTTCCAAGATGCATCACACATTTCATCAATGCAGTACTGCATTCTCGATGTCGGGCCCCACATTTCTTCACACTGAGTGCATTTTACCAGCTCGAAAAGCATGACCACTGTTCCCAATCAATGATTTGAGTAACTGTAATGGTACTTTCAAGCAAAAAAAAAATTGGACACACGAGGTCATGTTCAAAAGAGGTGAGGGTGTGACCTTGGTGCCATGGCAGTGACCCTTGAACCCTGACACTATGATACCAGAACGGGCAACATTTCAAGAAATGCTAGTAAAGGCTGTCACTTTTGAGATAGAAAATGAAAAGCTGAAAGGACTTACGATATTTGTCAAAAAAATCCCAGTCAAATTAATATAAACTCTCACTGTCAACAAAAGAGTACCCATTGCACTCGCACGAAATGATCTGAGATCAAGAAATTCAAATAAACTTAACAAACAAATCAACAAACATACAAACAAAACTCGCACCTCTTCTCATAAAGCCCAACTCATCACAGTCATCTCACTCACTCACCCCTTGTACACATCTCTACTCGACACATATCGCACGATTGACTGTCCGGCGATGCGCGTTCCCCTGCACAGCCAGGACCGATGTGGTGTGAAATTACGATGTTCCGGGTTGCATCTGAGCCTGGCTGTCACTAGGAAATGGAGTACACAGCGTCTAGTGGCCCAAGCTACGAAGAGAATTAATTAAACCAAATAAATCAATCAAACTTTTACCTTAAGAGCTGTGCTCTTCAATGACGTATATTTTTAACACTATACACTCACTGCTGTCTGCAGACTTGTGACAAAATTGAGCCTGTTACTTTTCATACCTATTTCACATTTCACTCACAATTAATTCCGTTTAATTTGCATGTTTAAGAGACAATGTCAGACTACATTACCGACAACAGCAAAAAATGAAAGTGAACAGACACTGGGCCGTGAGGTTTGCATCCCTTTAGTCTAGGGTGGGGGTGAAAAGTTGGTCCTGATACTCTCCTGACTGTTGCACATAGGAGAAGCACTACATCAAAGTGTGTACTGACATGAACTGTATGTTATTCAAAAATAAATTAAGTTTTGACATGAAGTGTATGTTGATAGGAAAGGACACTTTTCGATGATTAATTATTACCCAGACTGCATTTTTATTATCTGGAATGTCACTCCAAGAAGTAATCTTTAATCATTTGAGTGACAAAAAAACAACAAAACAAAGAAATAAATATAAGAAATTGAGAACTATATATACATGTACAGTGAAGTACAGTTGATGTACTGAAAAATACACGCACACTATCAGGGTTTCTACTTTTCGGGACTTAAAGGTTTCTCTACAGGGACATAAAGATTTCTATACAGGGACTTAAAGGTTTCTATACATGTTTTCTATTTCAATGAAGGTATTCTTTCAAACAAATAAAAAAGCTTTTTGTTGCATATAAGCTTATAGCGATATCCTTACTTCAATTATGTGAAGTACATCGTCCAAAACATACAGTATTAATGAAAAGTGCTATCAAAATACAATGTATATTATTTCATGTATTATGATTACGTTCAGCAAGATAAAACAATTGCCAAACCTCAGGATGCATTTGTTTTAGGCACATCTATTTCTTACTGTGTTATATGCTAGTACAGCCTCACTCAAATCCTGATTTTGCTAGGCACGGATGCAGAGCACTAAGTCCTCTGGAATTGCAAAGTACACGTACGTGCACATTACAATGGAAGAGAAAATTCCCTGGGAGTAGTTCTCTTATCATGCAGCTCTGACTTTATAGTAGCAGGAATCTTACCACATAAAATGCTCGTTGTTACGCGAATTCCAAAATTATTTCTCACGGTGTATCACCATTTCCTTATTGAATTCTTTTACCAGCTTAATTTGTTACTACTGACAGGTTGATATACCAGTGCATGAACAACATAAATTTTCAGATGATTTCATAAATTATACCAGACAGTCAGTCATCTGTTGGGATTAACTTTCAAGTAGTTTCTGAGCTGATATGTGTCAAATTACAAGACAAGAAAGAATCCAGCCATTCCATGCTGAACTGGATAACCATTTCCATTCACAGTTGGTATTCTATTGGTGGAACGACCTATCTGATGGACATTTTGTGCCCTGGGGCAATGTCTATTGATGCATGTCTTTGTACACAATATTGTAACAGGCAGCGTTTTGATTTGGAGTCCACTGGCACAATTTGGTGCTACTAGAAATAATCCCTGATACCACTACTCCCAAACACAACGCAGCATACATACTTGGTCAAGAAAATACCTCAGTCTCTAAACTAGATGCATGATCATGGGCAAATAAAAACTGATCTGATCTTCCGCATCAAACACCTCATCGTCTTCATCATCTTCTTCAAAATGAATGTAGCCAGCTTTCTCGGGCACACTTTCAAAGATCTGTGCATAGAACCTTACTCTGCAGACATGAACACATGCTGTTACTGCTGCAATTAACTCTTCTGGCAAGTCCCAGAACAATAGGCTAGCTCCATGACACTATCTGGAACCGCTGGAATGGTTATCCTTTCAATGAGAAGGTTATCGTTCTCCATCTTCCATCCAAGATGACAAGGTTGTCGAATCTCTGGAGTAACATGCAGGCTTTTCTTATCTCTTATTATCATACCTTCTCAGCAGGCTTCTCTTATACCTTGAAATGAATAAGAATTTGTCACCATACATACGTGAACAGGTATTACACACTCTTCAACATATTCAAGAAAAGACAGGTCTGCAAATTATTTTCAAAAACATCTAAATCACAAAGCATACACTGACCAAAAAGATTTTTCATCTACAGTCATGTTTTTTCTTGCCAAGAAATTTAATTAAACAAATAATGCTAAGAGTGGGTGACAGCACAACGGGTAGGTGCATGTAACAATACGTGTCGCCAATGACTGCACAGATACACACTAACTACAGAACGTTGGGAGTAAATTTATTTTTATCCTCTCAGTCATTATTCTGTAATCAAAAGCCCATCCAGCAGGTATTTCACAACTGTGGGTAAGGAACATTAAGACGGCAACTTTTACAAGTTTCATCATTTGAATGAACATTACATACACTGCACGCACTTGATCATGTCCCCAAATTGTTATTAAAGCTCTTGATGCTGTGCCCTGCACAGCAGAGCACAAAGCGTATTGACAAAAATGTAATTATACAATCAGTGCTGTGAATTATCTTCTTGCCGAGCTTTTGGTAACTGGGTACATGCCTCAGGGCAAGCAGATTCAGTTGACTTGCTTCTTCTTTGATGTGAAACTGAAGTTTCAGTTCACTTTCTAAGCATGCTCTTTGATGGTGTTTGTTCAATAATTAATCCCACTGAAACAACTTCCGATGAGTAAATGTACATGTACATCATCTACATACAAACCTGCCTGGTAGTTTGCTGTCATGAGGACAACTGGCGTTCCTTGTCAACGTCCTACTTGAGCACAAAGCACGTTTGTCCTTGACTGGTCTTTCTTTGGGCTCATCTGGGTCGTCTTTGTTGACAATATTGCCAGAGGAAGCTGCAAGTACCAAAAAAAAAGTTTGATATAAACCTTTGAACGACAAATTTTGAACCGTTTTAATGTGTGTACAGCACAGATTACATGTCCATAATTCATGTACTGAATGAGCGGGAATCAATACAATTTAAGTGAAAACAGAGCAGCCATGTCAATTTGAGAGATGTATCAGATAAGAAACAGACGGGGGGAGGGCTATTTGCACAAATTGTTGACCAAGTACACTGTAGTTCTTGGGAGCCAAACAGTTTCTGTCTGGAGGTCCCTTTCAATGCACACAAGATAGTTTTTTTCAATGACAGTGAAAAAGCCTTTTAATATTACTCCCTTTGAGCTGCATCATCTGTCATCCTGCGGTTGAGATTTAGAGAAAGCCAAAAATACATGTAACAGATTTAAGCAGTTCACAAAATAGAACCAATGCATCAAGGAAGACAGCCTGAATGCTTGGGAAAACATTTTTTTTTTTCAGTCACATAACTGCTGCTCAGAAATGCATAACACTCTCCGCCAAACAAGTTTGCAAGAGTCCACCCCCCCAACAAAATCAGTCAACTGCAACCAGCATTGATCTTACTTTTGCCCACCCACACCACCAATCAGATCAGTACAGATGTGCCCATTTCTATGCAGTAGTCTGGTAATTTTAATAAGAAATATGATGAATCAACCTACCCAAGAGAAAACTAACTATCAAGAAAGGATGTACAAAATTGTATTGAATAGATCCTGATTCGAATCAGATAATCTGACTCGACATGCTCGAGATCACAATTCACAATGTTCACGGGATTGCCAGGCATGACACTACATTCAAATGCATGTGAATTGGGCACTACGTATTCAGGAACCCTGTCCCTATAAGAGAAAGGAGAATTACGTTTCAATTTTTGGCCTACCTAGGCAGAGGAAAGTGACTTCATGTTGAATAGATGCAGGGTTAATTTTGTGGAAAGAGGATCGGGCTTAGATAATATTCAAAATATCCAATACTCTGTTCAAGTTTCTACCATATCTCCCACAACCAGTTACAGCCTTGCATAATTCCTTAACCCCTGCCGTCCCAGAACATGTGGCTCTCATCATTTTAAGTATCGCCAAATATTTACTCACTTCAATGTCTACAAATACTCCTTGTTCTCCTTGTTCCCAAGAACAATTCCTTCTTGGAATAGCCTCCCTTGCATCAGTCACCTCTGCTCCATTCTTTCAGTTCAAAACTATCCTCAGTAAACACTAGATAATCATCAGTCCTCTTGAGCATCCTTGGGGTGATATCCCAATGTGGGGACTTTGCCAAGTACCAGCATAGAAGTAGATTGAGGGTAATTAGGCCTATGGGGTAAAAATGGACGGTGTTCATACAAAAGACTACGTTATACAAAGAGGAATAACTTCCAAACTGTTGGCTATCTGTCAGAAAGTATGATTTCCTTACAATTTACAATTCTAAATTCACAAAAAACAGGGTAAGGATAATAGAGAGAAAACATTGCCTTTGGTCATGTTGGTTGCCCTCTTTTGGGGAATGACATAGAGGGGTCCCAACATTCCCCTTTCAATTAATGAAAATGAATGGAGGCCTACCTTTTACTCTTTGTTTATTCCTGTTCATCAGCTCCTTCCCCTCACAAAACACGTTGTTTGTCAGTGAATCGAGCGCGGCATAAATGTATTTGATGAAAACCAGCATCGCTTGGAATCGGCACGGAACTGGATACACTGTAGCCATATCGATCGAACACCGAATTCAGTACGGCGTGCATGGACAAGACCTTTTGCGACTTCAGCCTGCGCGCCCACAAAATTCTGCCACTTCGGTACAAACTCTACTGAACCCATGTCTCGCTGTTGCACTTCACTATGGTGGACTTGTTTGCAGGAGAAATACACAGGTACACTGTGGTGTACAACTTTCTTCATCACTCGAAGAAAATTCGGAGAGTAACAAGTAGGCTATCTTGTGCTACACGATTGTGCATGGTACAGCACTCCTTATTGGTCAAAACCAATGTCACAAGATCACATTAAATATACAACCTTTTGCAATTGGCTGGCCATTGTTTTAGGTGAAAGGTCATCTTGACAAACGCTTTTGATATTTTCTTTCCTTTATTGTGAAATGTTGTGAACAAATTAATCATATAAAAAGCCACTGATATGTTTCTTAATTCTAATACAGTGAGTTGACTTCCACCCCTCTCCAGGGTCATCAACCGACAAAAAAAAATTGACATGGCCCAGTGCCTACAATGTTGTAGTCGAGACCATCCTAAGATCAGACACAAGGTCAGACACAAGACTGTTGGCAGATCTGGATTTGTTAAAATACATGAATAGAAAGGAGCAGACGGCACCACAGGCCCTGTGTGTTTCAATGTATTACTGTATTATTTCAATGAACCTGTATCCACCCAGGCACCTGACTAATCCCAAGCAACTGGGTGAACAGTCAAAAAAGGAATACTTCTGTGGCAGTTCACATGAACAGTCTGTCACTTGAATTCAGACTGGAGGTCTTGTGATGGGTCTTAAGGGGGTCTCAACTGCAGCACTAACGAAGAAAAGAGGACTAGAAAATGCTAAAGATGTACCTCAGTTCTCTCACTGCTGGGGGTTCTTGGCTTTGCGGATAGCCTTGGAGGCCCAGAATGCCAGCGACTTGGTCTTGGCGACCTTCGACCGCCGCCCCTCTGTCAGGATTTCCTGGACCAAGGGCCGGTCCATGAGCTCAGCAACGTGATTCTTGAAGATTGTACACAGGTCACTGGACAGGAAGGACAAAGAGAGTTGGAATCGATGAACTTACGTAGGTCACTGCATTACTTCTGTTACATAGCTCCCTTACACGTAAGCCGGTTCATGCTTCAGGCGAATGCGAAAGCAAATTGGACATCACCAATCCTTTGCTGGAAAATCTGATTGAGTAGAATTGTGTTTGAGTTTTATGAATTTCATCTGACGTCACCAAATTGCATTCTTGTCCACTCTCACACCAAGTGGGATCTGGCTTTTAGACAAGAAACATTGGCGAATCTATCAAGTCTCTTTAACAGTGCATTCCCAATGGTGGAGAATTTGGCCAACGCACTAGAACCCTGCATAAATCAGGGCTGCGGTACACACCCCTAACACCGTGCACACATCATCCTCTGCAGACTGGTTATGGCCTGCAAGGTGTCATTGGGGCTGAGGTTGCTTTCTCATTTGTCTGTGTGTACTTTCTATCCAAAAACAACAGAAAAGCACATCTCCCGAGTCTGAGGCTGCTGAAACCTGGTCAAAAGGATGTGGGACTGTATATCATCTGCATGTCCACAAATACCGGACATCATTTGGAAGCTTCTGCAGGGATCCTTGGATGAAGCAGACAATGGCCAGACTACTGCACACATTTCTAGCCTTTTTTTTCACAGCACTTAAAACAAATAACTACAAGCATTATTCTTTTTTCAAACTTTCTACAAAGTGCCGTAAACTTTCCACAGCATCGTCTGACTTAAAGCACTATGTTTTGCATTGCATTGTAATCTACTTCCCTTAGTAACTTACTAAGCAAGTCGGTTACTTGGGCCAGGCCCAAGTAAGCGTGAGATATCACGTGTCAAAAGAAATGCAGTCATGCTTGCATGAGTAAGTACAGGGAATTGACAAAAAACTCTGCGCATGGAGGGTGTACCCAATCTTGGATTTAAAGGATGGGATTGGGCCTGTCCAGAGTCTTACCCGATGAGACCAGCACAAGCAGCGACATTACCATCTGTGTGGTCATCGTCATTTGCGATCTCTTCGATGAACGAGACGATGAAAGGCACGTGGGTAAGCACCATCTCAAGCCCAGCTGAAATACCAACCAAAAAAAAAGAGCTTCATTTCCATTGATTCTATATCTTAAAGCAAAAGGTTATAACTTCCGCTTTTGGTAAGAAAATAGGTTTGAGATATCCTCACCCCACCCCAAGATTACCAGCCTATCTCAGAACCTAGATAAAAAAGAGACAACTGACCCTATGGTATCAGTGCATATCTATGCTTACTGCTAATAGAGATTTCACATAATAACCCTTGCCCAGAAAAACCATGCGAAATAAAATCAAACCAATTTACTTTCCAGCCAACAAAACCCTCTAAAGTATTTGCCAACACTCACTATTTTGACAGCCAGTTTGAGGTCAGATTCAATTCCTCAAGGAGCTTTTTTCCACATTTTATACTGAGAGTTAGTGGGGGCAAACTGTTTCGATCGGAGATTGAAGACTAGATTGGTATGAATTTTTCAAAAAGAGAGAGAGCATTCAGTTGTCAGGTGGCATGACTCAGCGACTAGTCACCCAATTTCGTTTGAAAGAGCTTTTGATCGATCAATTAAGCCTATTGGGATGATTTTCTGAACTTACGATTGACAGAGTCATCTTCCCCCTTCAGACCTTGAATAATGCCAGTGTAGGCCTCAAGACATCCTTCCCTCAGCTCGTTTAAACAGTCAACCATGTCGTAATCAGTCTAAGAGGCAAATAAAAACCAAACGCGCAAGGATAAACCAGCATTTATCAAAGATTCCAGCTGTGCCTTGGGGTTGTCTTGTAATTGCTCATAAGTCCCCAAGGTCTAGTAACACTTTTGTGGGATAAATATGAATAAAATCTAGAAACTGAGTTCTGTCAATTCACGCAAAAATAATTTGAATTCTCCATACTTCAGACATTGTCGCTATACTTCATGATTCGGGGCAAGCTTAAAGAGATGCCTTGCAACAATACACAGTTTTCAATGAATAAGAAGGGCACAAAGGAACCAGTCCATTCCAGAGATGGTGGTCGCTATGCAAAAGCTTGCCCCGAATTACGAGGTATAGCGACAGTGTCTTCAGTCTAGGGAATTCAAGTTGTTATGTTTATGCACAATCAGACAACTCAGCGTACCAAATTTTATTCAAATTTTACTTACGAAAGGCTTATTCTGAGTGCCCTTGTTCTTGATTACGTGCGATAAAAGACTGCAGTGCTTCTTTGTGCATAGGTTGCTAAATAAAGGTGCAGTCAATCATCTAAAATCATCCACAAAGTAACTGAAAAAATTTGGTTGAAAAGTGTACTTGATTTAAAGATAGTGAAGGGACTAAACTCCATGTGAAATTTTTCTTTCTGGTAAGCTGTCATTTTTATAAACAGGCATGAAACAAAGCCTTGCCAACAATGCATTTTGGGAAAAACACCATTAGAAGCACACACAAGTGTTGACAGTACACACATGCATGCGCATTATAAGCACACACAAGTGTTGACAATACACACATGCATGCGCATTATAAGCACACACAAGTGTTGACAATACACACATGCATGCGTGTTAACGATACTTCATCAGTTCAGTGTGTGACATAGCATAGCTGCATTTGACTGAACGTGAGAACGTGTCCCAGATGGTGAATTCAGGCATGATTCATACAATGATTCAAAAACTTTTCATCTGAAATCAAAATTCTATATTACAGTTTTCTCAGAATATACAGTATTCACCGAGATGAAACTTCACGAGCATTTGAAGTTATTCAGTTGAACAGCTGCAAAAAATGCCCTCGTCATTGCTCATTCCGTTACCCATTACTGGACTTGTGAATGGATTACACTTCACCCTCAGCTGTCAATCTCTCTATCCTTAGCCCAGACCCACCCCTTCGAGGCAACCCCCTCTCCCTACCTTGTCTACTTTTGTCTGGCTAGCTTGCTGGAGTGTCTCCAGGACCAACAGGAGGTACTTCTTGAACTCACTGCCAATCGCCAGCGCAATGTCACCAAACACAGACAATATCTGAGGCTTGACTGTGCGGTGTACTTGTTCATTCTGGAAAAAACACAAAGGCATAAATCCCATTAACACCTAGGAAAGGAACCCACGCATGCATTATGGAAGAAAGACTAAGATGTCCATGGATTCTGAAGGTGACCAAGAGATGGCACGTTTTAGAAGAGTAACGACATCCAATAGGGACCCAGAGACAGGCAAATCACCAAATGGTTTCCCACCAAAGCCTCTCTTCTTTGCTGGTGCGAAGAAAGTATTCTCCAAGCTGTAATTTTAAAACTTCCTGAAGGCCTCATAAAAATATTGAAATACAGAGGGGCTATAGCATGGATTTCACAGTCCACTGCAGGAGCCCCGTCCCCCGACTGCTACATTTCTGGGCATCTTAGAGCTAGATTTATTCCTATAAAACCTGGAAACAGTTTCAGACTGTTGACGGCTTTTTTTTTTGAGACGTAATAATCCAGAATGTATTTGTCAGTCTTGCACTTGGTGTTTTCAATTTAGTGGCCAGATTGTTAGGGTTGGTGGTTATTTTTCAATCACACTGGGAGACAAGCCACACTCCGTAGGGGCCCTAAATGTACAGCTTTTTTTCAGGTTGGAAAAAATTCTAAGGAGAACTCATCCACTAGGCAAATAGTTCCAAAGCCATCGAAGTCAGAGTACAGAGTACAGAACTGATGAAACACAGGTGATTCAAACTTAATAACAAAGAGCCGGTTACTAGGTGATATTTCATATGCTGTGCACTTCGTGCGACTGGTACCCCCGTCTTTTATGCATAAGCTCAAGATAAGATATTTTTCGTTTGGCAGCCCTGCTAAACAGGGTCCAGGAGTCAGAGTGTGTCAAATTTTGACAGGTTACAGTTCATCCCAAAATACCAACACACTTGACACAGGTATGAAATTTATAAAAATAAAACCAACATCCCAAAATGTGAAAAAATGTATTTTTACCCTCAGGTTTGTGAAAAGGCGGTGCATTATATCGTCGCAGCATGGAGTGATGTGCGCATTCAAGGCCCGGCACAGATCCCCAACAAGACCCACGGCGGCGAGGCAGACCTGATATTCAACAGCGTTCTCTAGTCCGAAGTAAAGGTGCATCTGGAAGACCTCCAGGTACTTGAGGAAGTCAATGCCTAGGACTACAAGGGGCGATGGGAAGGGGAAAAAATGGAAAAAACCTCTGAAACACTGCCTTTGATCATGGTGAAATGAGACCACCATAACATCATTTCTGTGTCACAATGCAAAAAAATCTACATGTATGGGTATGAATTTAAACAAAGTTCAAGCATGCGACCATTTGTTGACCACCGGTCAATTTTGCTGGTTAACCCATGTATAAAATGTATCGTGGGTACCGGGTGAGATCAGCCAGCAGCTGCCAAAAAGTTGCCGCTCGAACTTACACAAACAAAATTATTACCCATTATAAAAATTCAGCTCTGACATGAAAGTTGCAAATGCTTTTGTCGCCATGCTTGAGGACAGGAACACTACACTGGTCCTGGCACAGCAAGCGATGTGCATTCAGAAGCTACAGGTGAGGGTGCTATCTGTCAGCATGTAACATGCGACCCACTCTGTGAAAATCAGCTACCAGGCCCATTTTTTCTTTAAACTCAGTTTAAGTTCTGCATCAGAAAGAGCAACTCAAGCTCTGTGGTGTTGATATATCTCTCAGTTTGGCACCCTGATAAAACTCGTGTGGAAAATGTGGAGGGTTCCTATTACATTGTGCAAGATTCTTTTCAAGCCCTTGACTCAAGGCCCAGATGAGACAAAAAAGTTGCTCTGTCGACCAGTGTCTCATCTTCACGGAGAGAGGCACGAGAGTATTGCGCAGAAAGGCCACCGGTCGTACCTTCAACGAGAGTGCCCACCGCCAGCAGCGCATCTTCCCGCACTCCCCCGGACTTCATGTTGCCCGCGTTGAACATCTGCAGGAGTAGCGTCATGATGTCGTCCGAGATGGCCTGGGCGTCCTCCAGCTTCATCTTCCGGAGGACGCTCTGAGACACAAATGGGAGGAGAGAATCCTTTCTGATTCTTTGGCTCTGACCAGAATGACTTAAAATTAAACTTGAGCTGTTGATGTTACCAACTTTTGTTAAAATAAATACCAGGAAAAGTGTGTCTACGAGTTTCTAGGTGCAATAGCAAACCTATCTAATTTTCAATTGTTAGACAGCAAATCTGTTTTTTTTATTGTCAGAAATTTCAGTGCATTATGAAGCCAAAAAAATCAGCCAGATACGTGGGTCGGAAATGTCTTTCAAAACATCACAGCTCACCATCAATAAAGGACATCAGAAGAAGCGTACAAGTACACCTGACTTGGGAAACAAAGACTTGGAAGATGACTTGACGAAAAGAGGCCGAGTGACTTGACTTGATGAAAAATGACTTGGCCGCAACATGTGCATACACATGTTATTGGACCATCAACGAAGTTACTTTAATTACTTGGAAAACACTTGACCGTGAAGCGTAATCAATGCTCCAATTGGGAGCACGTTACAATCACAGAACACACTTCGACTATAGATGTAGACTACATTTGGAGGCATGCTCGTGCGGACAATATTGGAGCCCCATTTTTGTGATCCTAGCTAACACTGATGGCTTCCAAGCAGGCTGTGCAGGACCGTCAACAAATGTCACATGGTAGATTTTCCCATTCTTTTTTTCAAACTCCAACCCCTTGGCCCTTTTGACTAGGATTCCTTATTCTTCAAAATCCTCTCACTGCCTCAAGGTACGCACACTGCGGTACGGCCTTGGTCCTCCAAACTCTCCGTTACTTTACTTGGAGAGATGACGACTGCCTCAATCCTTCAAAATCCTCTGACAAATTCCTGTCATTATTTTAGGCAGTGCAAGTAACATCCCAGAGCACTGAGGACGATTTCATCGAATACAATTTGGGCCTAAATTCGTGCAGGGCTGATTATCAACAGCACAAGGTCTAGCCCAAGACCTAGGGTGCAAATGCATCATTTGAAATCAGCCACACATTTTTTCAGTTAGCCTCAACCCTCCAAAATAACACCCGGAGGACAGTGGAAGTCAAGGTCAACTAGGGTAATAGTAGTAACAATACAAAAACACGGGCCAAATTTACCTGTAACGTGGCACAGAGTAGAGACTGTAGGTCGTTGTACTGGATACGGTCCGAGGCAGACTGCAATTGTGACTGTCAATAAAAAACCCAACAAGTTTACACGAATGTCATCATCAGAGTAAGAATGGACTTCCTTCACACCGCAAAGCAAGGCCACACTTTTTCATCGCTTTATCACACTCTGGCAAGCTTCTATACTGCCCAAGAGAACCCGCAATAAAACTTAGTAAATAACTTCAACTGAAACAAATGCTGCATATTCAAAAACAAGGTCAGCTAATCTAAGTGGCTGAAGCCGTCTATTTTGGGGGAATAAACCTCCCTTTGCTTTAGTCTGGCAAATCATTTTTTCAAATTGCCTCTGAATAAAATGCTCACGCCTGAAATGCTCAGACATCGAGTAATGCAAAATTTCTGGAGGGAAGATGGCCTTAAGACCTACTTTGTAGGACCTGCACGAGAATGTTCTTGGCTGACACAAAGTTTTCACCCAAACTTTTCTTCCTTTGGAGGAAGGGACGTGTTACAATCTTCGGAAGTTGAAAGTCGCAGCTTACCTCCATCTGTAGGATTACTTTGATTCTTTCCATGATGATTTTCGTCACAGACTGTACAATTGGGTAACAATCCTGAGCCAAGACAAGCAATATGGAAATTAATGGTCCTGCCTGAGACCAATTAAACTTTGCTACCACACACAAAAAACTTGGGTCCAATATGCCTATGTATTGATGACACCTACACCTGTCTGCGGAGCATCAAATCCATTGTCCCTACATAGTTACTATAGTAAAGTGCACACGTAAACAAAGTGTGATGTCATCAGCACATTGACTTATTTAGTGGAGCAGAAAACACTGCCTAGTTTATTCGCCTACGATGCTGGTACTGGCAGAAAATTAGTCATATACAATGCAATATAACACAAGATATTTTGGGCTAGTGAAGGCACCGAGGTGCCTCTGCTAAGCTGATGTGTTCTGCCCTTGGTGATTTTCTGCTCAGTGCCATGAGCAATTGGATGCCTGCGATCATTTGATTGATTAAGAAGGCTGGCAATAAATACAACATCCCCCAAAGCAGTCAACTGTGTCAACATGCTGATTATTTGAATATTCAGATATTCACTCATACATGGAACGTCCAAATATGTATTTTCAAAATCAAGTATTTGGTGGTGAAAAATCACTGAAACAAAAAGGGGAAAACTTTGCATGCTGTAAGTGCATTTTTCAAGATACTATGAGTAAACTTAAAGGCAGGTGAATCCATATGACCAAAATTAAGGGGAAAAGGTACTTTTCTCACAATTTCATTTTTTCTAAATTATTTTTTTGTAATGAACAAAAGAATACCGAGGATTGGCAACTGGCATTAGGACGCATAATGTTGAATGCTACTTGGGAGGTCAAAAGACTTTCACATGGCTTTATTACTCATGTGGGGATGCAGCAAAACAAGCTGTCTTTTTCATAGATCCAAGAGAACGATTGGCAACAACCCACCTGGGCACTGTTCTTCATTAGCTCCATCAAGGCTTCATAGGCAGCATTTCTCAGGTTGGCTTGGTGAGCATCTCCCCTGAAGAAGAAAATATGATAATTTTTGAGTAAAACGGCACTGTCCTTTGGGGAAAAAACAGCCAGTCATGAAATTCCCATAAATGATTCCCAAATTGAATAAAAACAACTCTGATGTAATAATGAACTTGACCGAGACATCCTGTTCATAGCAGAGTAAACTTCCACCTGAAATCCACCCACCATGTACACTGCAGATTTATTGCGTTGGTGGAGACTTTTACATAATTGCAGGGGTACATCTGCGCACACACACACTCACACTCAACCACGCTTGTAGAAGAGTTTGCTACCTGTCTGCTGTGGTGAGGAGTTTATCTGCAATCGCTCCGAAATTCGGTGACAGGCAGTATGTCTCCGGATCTCCTTCGTCAGTCCCAACACGAGTGGCCGTTTCATACGCCGACTCGGCCAAACTAGAAAATGCCTGGTGACATAACAAAGGTAAAAGAGAGCACCCATAATGAATTATCATTTTAATTCGTTCAGACAATGAAATCAGGCGGGGGTTTCCTCAAAGGAGGGCGGGAGCTTTAACCTTGAGGCCTGAAGACAAGGACACAGAGGTTAAGGGAATTTCCGGCTTGGAAGTGGGGCAGTCAGGTCAGGACTGTAAAACCAAATCCACAGGCCGGCCTGCCAGGGATTTGAACCCAGGTTGAAGAAAATGTCAAAGAAACTTTACACTTTCCAGTTGGGGTTTTCTGAATCATTGCTTTGTCAATGACTTGGGCTTTACAATAAAAAACATGAATTTATCAGGACTTTCAATGGCTCATTCTCTCCCATACTGCTGTGATTATATGACTCATGCATTTGCCATTTTCACAGTAAAAGGGCAGAGATTAGCAAAACCTGAATTGAAAAAAATAACAAAGTTTGGGGGTCAAATATCCTAAAATCTGGACAAACCGCCCCCTAATTTATTAATGTGCTTATTAAACTTGCATTTGTATTTTTTTTTTTGGCTGAAAATTTCAATTTCCGAAAAACGAAAGACATAGCTGCCAAATTTTAGATATACTGCCAAACCCTGCAAGTACTTTGTAAGAGTGATTTGAATAGTATTTGTACAATATATCGCACAGCAAGCTCAGATTTTTTTAACAGTAATATTTTTTAAGCCACAACAGGCTGTGCACAGCTGTCAAGTTCAACGCACATGGCCTCCAGAGACTTCTTGGACTTGGCAAGCACCTCCAAAACAGCCAGGGGTGAGTCGGGGCACACTTAACGCTTCAACCCATCAGCTGGGACCGTGTGCACTGACAGTCAGATTGTGTTTGATACTAATAATATTGACTTGTGTGTCCAGTAACCCAATCAAGGCACCATACTAGACTGGTTCCCATCCCGTATGTAGTCTCCAGACGTCTTAAAGATATCCTCCGAACGTAGGGACCAGTAGTGGGTAATGAAACCGGCAGAATCCTACCGAGTGTATGTAGATGAGGAAACGATGCCCACTTAATGCACAAAGCAAGCAGGAGCTGAAAGAATGTTTTGCTTTTTCTTCTTCATTACCAAAAATAACTTCACCATAAATTGTTCATTTATCTCAAATTTAACACGATAACCACTGACTGGAAAAAATTGTGGTAAAATGATTTATCAATGATAATCATAAAAAAACAAGTTACCACACTGTTATCAACAGAGGCTGGATAGGTGCATGCATTTTATTCACCCTCCCGCTGAAACGTAGTTCATGTTGAAGCATTGCTAATGGCCTGACAAAAACTTAAATACTCAGCATCCAAATTGACAGGGCTAATTGCACATGTTAAACCGCAGCTCGCTACTGGTCCCTATTTAATTGGGATGGAGAGCAGTCCAGGCACCATACATTATTAATACCCCTGCTCATAAGGCCTATGTACATTCCTCAAACGATCTCAACTCCTTGGGTAGTATATACGGCTTGATGCTGCCATTTCAGGTGCAAATGGCTCGTCAAACAACAACCATTTCTGTCCCCTCAGGTACCAGTTTATACTCCTAGATGGAGAAAAGCAAGTGGGAGTAAAGTAACTTGCCCAGGGGCACAACCTGTACCCAGCGGCTAAATTGAAAACCCCTAGCCCCATTTTCTTGGGTTGCAAACCCTAGCCACTAGGCTACAGCATCCACCAGCCCAACATTTTTAACTCACCCAGCATATGTTGGCTGCGACCCGTGGCTCCGAGTCCAAGCTCTGGACTAGGGCCTGTAGCAGGGTGGGGAAGACCACGTCATTCAGCACTGTCTCTGGCAAGAGCTCACAGATGCGGCCAAGCGTCCAGGCCACCGTGTCCCGCACCACCACGCTCTTGTCGTTCAGCAACAGGATAAGCTGCTCAGCATGCTGGGCGACGTGGGGCTTCAAGGCGTCCGGGTCGGGACCTTCCAGGATCGAGCCTGGTCAGATATTGGCAGGCAAGGAAGTTGAATAAAGTTAAGGTCTAGACATGCACCAGTGTTGTCTCCCAATCCCAAGGGGACTATCGACGATTTATCGACAATCATGATACAAAAAATCTAGGAAAAGGTATCATGGTGAAAAAAGCAGCATCCCAAAACTTGGCCTAGAAGAATAGTTAAAGGAAATTCAAGAATATTTCAAGAAACAGAAGGCATAACAGTAATGCAATCTAATAAGGTCTTTAAGACAAGACTGAAACCAGCTAAGAGTCCTCAATCTCTGGATTAATAAATTGTGGTCAAAAGTGTCGCAGAAAGCCAAGAGGTCCAGCAGGACAAGTCGATAGCACACAAGATCATTAAGGACTCCCAGAAGTGCTGTTTCAACACAATGAAACTTTGTGTAGCCGACCTTATGCAGACTACGCCTAAACAAATGAGCGCTCAAGGTGCCTGCTACGACCTTCTCAACTACCTTCAACAAAAAACAACGGATTAGAAAACGGACAATTATTGTTCATGTTCTTGTAGTCTAGGATTAATTTTTTGAGGACAGGAGTGATAATAGCAGTCTTGAAGCAACTTGGAAAACATACTAGCGGCACACACCAAGCTTAGCGCCAGAGGTGTCTTGCTGTGGTACCCATGCCCTGTATGCCATTTCAGACACCCTATTCTATCCCCCAAATGTGCATGAAAGCATACAATTTTATTCACCCCAATTTCCAATAAAAGCCAGCTTGGAGCACCCGATTGCCAAATGCTGACAAAATTCCTGCTCCAGGATGGCCTGCTTTTGGAGACAATAAGAGCGCTAGCTCTAAGACTGTTTTTTGGACATACCAAAGCTCATGACGGCAGCGTCTCTGAACTTCCAGTCAGTGCTGCAGATGTTGTCCTTGATGAACGGCTTGACGAGGGGCACGATGTCATTCTCGCAGCAGTTGGCCAGTAGCATCAGGCAGACACCGGCCGCCTTGCAGGGGTTCCAGTCGTCCTCGTCGTCAAACTCCTCCTGCTTGGTGAGCAGCAAGGTCAGGATGGGCACCAGGTACATCAGGGCCCCTTTGGCGTAAAACCTGCTGATGTGCTCTGGGGTTCGGCCCTGTTCGTGTGCCTGCAGCCCAGAGCAAACACAAGAAAGTTGAAATTACAAAATCAAAGGGGAACCCATCTTTTTTCTTAACTGATTCATCCTTCCAATGGATAGAAATCAAAACACAACCTTACTGCAGTTCCCATGATACAAAACACATTTCATCCTCAATATATGTGTATCAGGTACAACGTTCAATACACAAGAGTGCACCTCCAAGAGTTTGCAACACATTGACCAATCACAATGCACAAAATCTGTCGACCCAGTGTGCGTTTGCAAAGGGCCAACAGATGTCGCACATAGATTGGTCATAGCATCGAAAACTCTTGGAGGCACACTACTGTGAAACGCTCATATTGTTTTTCATTGAATTTGATGAAGCGAATAAAATGCTTTTTAATAACGCATCACTGTATACAAGATTTTATTCAAATTAATTCGCAATCGGCTTACGATTTGCTTTTAAGACACATATGGCAGGAGAGAATTAAGCGACTGGAGAATTTAAACTAGAACTGGAAAACAGATTGGCTTTGTTGAAAGTTGAAATCAATACTGCAACAGTGCTACTCATTTCTGGGTAACGTTTTAACTTGAATAGTTTCGTGCCGGATGACATGCAAACCTGGAACAATGTTTCAGACACAGTTTAGCAGGGACTGTGCAAAGGCAACCTGGCATGGTATATTCACAGGGTCAGATGCGAGGAACCAGTTAAAAATTTTCCACTCACTCCACAAAAACATGCACAAATCTGCGGGGATGGTTAAGCTTGTCACGTGATGATGAAGGTGGGGACACCTCAACCATTCCTTGGGATATCTTAAAAAGGAGATGGTGATCACAGGCTCTGAGCTCGCTTGCAAGGAATGGAGGAATCATTCCATAAACTTTCCCAGGCCTGGTATCGTTCCTGTTAAAATTACCGCCTTTTAAGAATGTTCTGATATGACAGCCCCTGTCCTTTAATAATATCACACTATTTACGACGGTAAGTGTATGAACTCTATGGGAAAAAGTCAAGCATGGTGACGAGTACAACTGTCTTCCAGAGCTGCATACAGAATTCACCAGAGCATGTTTACATATCCTGTGTGTTACGACGCAGGAAATTCCTGCATGCGCATGTATTATCAGGCATGAAGCGCTTAAGCACAAACATGTTCACTCGAGAATGGCCCGTTATCTGCAGGAATGGCAAGGAGACAAGGGCAGCGGAGGTCACTGAGCAAACCTCTCCCATACTCTGACCCACCTCTGAGGCTTCTATGGCCAGGTCCATCTCCTCGTCACAGACGTTGGACCAGAATTCGATGCCCTGGAGAGCAATCTCATCATAGCTACTCTTCATGGCTTCAATCGTTATCTGTAAATTGAACATCAAAGGGGAACCCATCTCTCTTCTTAACTGCTGCATCCTTTCAACGGATCGAGAACAAAACACATACTGCATTTCCCATGATGCAAAACACATTTCATCATCATTTCAGGGGTACCAGGTACGACGTTCAATTCTTTTCACAGAATTTGATGAAGCGTATAAAAATGCTTTTTGACGGTGAAACATCCTACTCACTACATCCTGAGCAAAGCATGTGCTTTGCATCCATTAAAGTTTAATGCGCTGACTTTGATTGACATGTACATGTATATGTTTTATCACTTAAATATCAATGGACACAACCTCCATGTTTAAAAAGTAGCATACCAAAGCTACTTAATTTGATAAAAGATCACGTGGACATTGTTTCACAGCAGTTAGGATATGGTCAACACATACATCATACAAGTAAACAGAGAAAGTCTCAGAACAAGACAATTCTGAGCTATATAAGATTCGGCTGTGGTTTTAGGTGATTGGGCTTAATCAAATCACCCACTGCTTTGTTGACGTCAGGTTTTTTTTGGGGGGGGGTGTTTTCTTGATAATAAATTTTCTGCAGCTTTCCTTCAAGAACAAACAGCACAACTGAAAAAACTTCACATGAACACCAACTGTCACCCCAAAATGAACAAACAAGTTGGGAATCAAGTAAATAGTGCAGTCTTTCGTGCTTGTAAAGTACATAACCCTATTCCATTCTGAATCCAACGAGCATATGCATGATTTCAATACTGACATCTGACGTGTTATTTTCCTTTCATCTACGACATCCAATGCTAACATAAACACTAAAGTTAAACACTGTACTTCTTTACTACAAACATATAGTTACATGTGACAGCATAACATGTCTGGCCAGATGTCAGGACTAATCGTCTCGTGTTTGTCATCGACACAAACACTTGCCACTCAGGTTTCAATTTGTAATGACATGTACAGGAAGTACACAAATAGTAAGATTAGCAAAATAAAGAAGGAAGAATCAGAGGAAATTTGCTGATGTGAGGAAAAGCTGTGCGTCTGGTGCCTAAAATCCTCATCTCGAAATACTTACAGAGAACAGTGCAGGTCCCATGTAGGGCTCCATATGCTGGTAGTAGAGGGATACGATTTTGACCAGACACTGCAGAGCCGCCACCTGGACTTGCACATTTTTGCACTGCGTGGCCTCGCAAACTACCTGCATGATGAAGTGCCGCTCTTTCTGTCAAAGAACAACGGAAAAACCTCAATCGGAAAAACTGACCAATCAAAGGGGAGTAAACGGCAGAAATTTTGGCCGGCTCTGAACTCCCTACTGCACGTTCTCAGCCATTCTCCGGTTTCCACTAAGTATGCACTAAGTATGTCAAAGCTAACATTTCTGGCCAACCAGCCCCGGCAAATGGACACTTGGTGAGAGCAGTTTGTCACACTTTCATGAACTCAATATCAACACAATTGTAAGACATTACTGGAAAAATTCTTAAAGGCTGGGGGCATAAAAAAGAAAGACAAAAATTACTTCTATAACATCGGCAAAAATGTCAAGAGCGTGGTCCCCCTCCCATTTTTTTATGGTAAATGCAGCAACTTACCTCTTTGTCAAAGTTTGCTTTGGTGAATTCTAGCGAATTGAGCAGGGCGTTTGTGGCTGCCAACTTCACGGTAAAGCTGCTCAGAACAAGAAAACAGCAGCTGTGAGATAATGCCTATCACACTAAAAAATACTACCCGAAACTGAATCGCAAACAAAACTACAACTGACCATCTTTCTAATTCCTCTGATGAGAAGCTCACCTTTGTTCTTCCAGCCTCATCCCTTGGATTATTGCTGTCAGTATCTCATTACTCCACGCTTCTAAGTGTTCCGGTTCCTTGTGCAATACACCAAAAAAAACAAAAGACAGAAAAACCAAGTATAATTTGACAGCTGCTGACTGATGTCATTCTGTTTAAGCATATGCTGCAAGGGAGCCCGGTTTCGGGCACAAAGGCTTTATACACAAAACCGAGGAGCCCAAAGCCGGACAAAAGAGCTGGGCCTTGTAACAAAAAACCGTACTCAGAACAAAAGACCGAGCTGCTTGGAATTGCCAACATTTTTTATCAGTTGTCAATAGCGGAGGAAATCCATCCTTATTTTGAGAGATTATACCACTGTTTGTGGCATTCAGCACGAGCGGATTACCACCAGGGACAAAAGTGCTCCAGCGATGAGTGATACAATACCGCTGCACGCTAATCTGGTCCCTGTTGAAAAGATGCCAGTAGCGCACTGTGCCAGTTTCGGGAAAAGAAAGTTACATAGCACTGCACAATTTGGGCTCTTTTTACAAGGTGGCAGGCCCGGCTGAAATACTCTGGCGTCAATAGATGTTGTCTGTCAGATTAGAGTAGTCACCAGTCAGTTATTCGTGTAGGTGTAAGTGTCCAGTAAATGAAGCTATGATTTTTTTAATATTTTTGAAAACGGAAAATCTTGAAAATCTCCCGGTTTTACGTCATGCAACTTCAAATTCCAGCAGCAAGTGGTTAAATACTAAAAGGGATGCAAAGATGGGCAGGGGGAAAAACTGTGTCATGTATCACAGCTACACAGCATTCAGAACATTTGACTTTTCTTCACCCTGATGTACTGCTCCATCCAGCCTTATCCAGGCAATGTGTAGTCTTGGACTTAGCATCTCTGAGATAGGGCTGTGCCAAATATCCAATTGACTATCAAATATTCAAGTATTATTTCCCAATTTGAATATTCGAATGCAAAATTCATGAAAAGGAAGAATTTTTTTATTTTAAATGAAACCAATTGCACTATGGAGGCTTGTTTCAAGCAGATTTAAATGATAAGCAACGGAAATCTTACGACTCATAAAGTAAATTATGCATTAAAAAATTTAAAAGGAATGGAAATTTTCAACAGGGCAAGAAGTATTGTTCCTCTCTTAAACCTTGCTAAATCATGGCTGGAGATGCTCCTAGACGTGAGAAGTTACCGTAGTGATTATAATGTATAACTGTGTGCGCTATTACGACTGATTTTGGTTCAATCATCAAAGACGTGCCAGGCGGTAAGACCAAATATTTGGATATTCGAATGAATTGAAGGACGCTTATTTGAATAGTGAATTATTCGAATTGACTCAGCCCTACTCTGAGACGTTCCCACCCACTAGGAATAATGCATTAGCGCTGAACACAAAAACTTGTCCCAAATGCAATGAGGTAAACGAATCACATATTGCACATATCAACTCAGAGTGGGCACAGGTCAGTCAGGGTGTGGTGTCTTTCATGAAACCTAATCCCTACCCCGACCCCCCTCGTCAAACCACAAAGGCTAGCCTTGCATGGATGTAATAAGTGTGCCTAACGGTGGTCACAGCAACCTGGATGCAACTGCCACTTCCTACAGCCTCGGGGCATTATTAAGCCCATTTTCCATGTGGTCGTAACAATGGTTAACATCATGCAAACTGTTCAGATGCCAACGGGCAAGGAGTAGAAGGTGTGAGACATCATTCGACCAATAAATTTGCAATAACAGGGCTTTCAAATCTCTAAAAGTTTTCGTATCAAATGCACTTTACAGGCAGTCATACCACTTCTTGAAGCTAAATCAGTGCTCAAATTTGATGACTTTCATCTATGGTCAGATTTTTGTTCACAACAGAGGGTTCATTTTGGCACTTAAAAATGGAAAATGGGCTAAATGCGCAGTACTCAAGCGAGAGTGACATTGCGCACTGGTTACATGTACTGGTTAGCATGTTTGTATGTGCCTACTTTGAAAATTCGACACAGGCAGTCAAGATAAATCTCTATATTTTTGCATGTAGTTGGGGTGCTGCTGTCTGTATCTCCTTGCAACAACATGGAAATTAGGCTTTACTCCTGGCCACTGTGGGTCAATAAACCCCGGAAAAGGCCTTACGATGTCTTGGCAGATGTATCCAATGGCTTCCAGGGTAGACTCTCGCAGTGCCTCTGTGCTGGTGTTGGCAGTGACGTTGTTCAGAAGCTGGGGTATGAGATCGGGCCACTGCTGGACCGGGATCTCCGTGCAAGCAATGGAAGCAACACACTAGACAGACACCAATGTAGAGGAGAGGAGACAAGAACATGGTCATTTTTCAGTCGGCATTGTAGTGGAATCCCTTCACAAGTCCAATCACAAGGTGAGCCATGAGTAACGGGCGAAGACTGACAAAGGGAAGCTTTTGTCAGTGTTCATTTGAACAGCTCATGACTCAGCTTATGACCAGGTGAATTGTGACGGCTTTGTGATGGATTCAAATATGATACTGTGTCAAGCTACACATTTCCAGCCCAAAGAAACGTTCACGAGGTTGAACTATGATTCAAGAAGACTGACAGTTGGAGATCACTGAACTCCACAAAAAGAAATTGGGATAACTGGTTGGCCATTCCCAACTGAGTGAAGCTATGCACTGGTTCCAGATCAGATGTGCACAGAAAACCATTCTCAACCACTCAGAACATATTTTTTACAAGTCTGATGTTAGTGGAGTGGAAGGATGGAAAGTAGCGACTTCACTTCCAACAGTCAATGGTCTATCCAGATTTGTTTTTAATACGGAGAGTGACTGAGATTAAGAGTGTGTCGGTAATATGAGCGCTATTCCTGTAGCAAAATGCCAGGATGTAAAACAAGACAAAGCTTTGAAGGGAAGGATGAGAAAGGTTACACTTTTCACCGAGTAACCACTTACCTGTGCAGCAGCTTTCGTGGAATGAGTCTCTGTTCCGAGAGCATGCAGAACCTTCAAAATAACAAATAACCAAAAGACAGTTATGTTCGGGAGACATTCCTAAGAGTGAGCACTGATGGCCATTTGTAAGCTCCGACCAACGATAAATTGGAGACCGCTAACCCTAACTAACCAGACCAGAATTGGGGCCAGAATTCTTCCATATTCCTCCATGGGGAAACCAGTGGTACATTCTTCATGCCTCTTGCATCAAGATATCTTGTTATTTGAAAGAGTGACTGGTTGTCGGTCATCCTCAATCCCAGCCAGATCTCCCAATACCTTGTGGATGATTTTGAAGGATCTGGGACATTATCTCCTTTGCAATGAAGAACCTGCTCATCGGCTAAGATATATGAAGCTGGTGGGAATTACTTCAAGCGGGTGATTAACACACATGACAACAGTGCAATTCTATCTACCAGGACTGGTTCAGCGTGCTTGGCGTGTGTAGGAACCTGTGCGCACGAATTGTGTGGCTTCCCCTTCCCCACCAAGGGACATCAAGTTTAAAAACAATGTAGCTCGTTCCAGCCCAGGGAAGATAGGATTGAATCAGAGGCTGTAACTCACCAACTGTTTGATGTGTGACCTCAGACTGATGTCAAGCTGCAGCCACCGCTGGTGGTACTGAAGACGCATGTCCGGCGACTTGGACGTCAGGGCATTTTTCAGCTGGAGGCCTGCCGCCATGCGGGTGACAGCATCATTTTCGACATGGGCCAACGCTGTGGCTAGGGCTTGGAGGTACTCCGGCTGGATCAAGACAAAAAGAAGAACTTCAGATTACATAATTAATTCCACTCGCAAAGATGCCACCACCAATCTTAAAAAGGTCCAGTTGACATCTTACTGGAAACACTGCCCAAAGGACTAGTACGTGTACAGTATTTTAATCCTTTTATGCATGGTATGCGTCTATGTGTATATACATCTCACATGCGAGTGTTTACACATTTACAGAAGGGTTTTTCAGTGGGTATGCTTGCAGAAAGATCTTGTTTTTTCACACAAAATATTTATACCCAAGACGCATTAGAGAAGCTTTGGAAATCTCCAAGCACCCCACCGTGCCTCAAGACATCAGCTTCTCCATCAGCGATATCTGGCAGCCCCTCCTCACCTCCCGGTCTGATGGGTCCTCTATACCCTAAGATTCCCCCCCCCCCCCCNAATTGTAAGCTCCGACCGACTATAAATTGGAGACTTCTAACCCTAACTAACCAGACCAGAACTGGGGCCAGAATTCTTCCATATTCCTCCATGGGGAAACCAGTGGTACATTCTTCATGCCTCTTGCATCAAGATATCTTGTTATTTGAAAGAGTGACTGGTTGTCGGTCATCCTCAATCCCAGCCAGATCTCCCAATACCTTGTGGATGATTTTGAACGATCTGGGACATTATCTTCTTTGCAATGAAGAACCTACTCATCGGCTAAGATATATGAAGCTGGTGGGAATTACTTCAAGCGGGTGCTTAACACACATGACAACTGTGCAATTCTATCTACCAGGACTGGTTCAGCGTGCTTGGCGTGTGTAGGAATTGTGTGGCTTCCCCTTCCCCACCAAGGGACATCAAGTTTAAAAACACTGTAGATCGTTCCAGCCCAGGGAAGATAGGATTGAATCAGAGGCTGTAACTCACCAACTGTTTGATGTGTGACCTCAGACTGATGTCAAGCTGCAGCCACCGCTGGTGGTACTGAAGCCGCATGTCCGGCGACTTGGACGTCAGGGCATTTTTCAGCTGGAGGCCTGCCGCCATGCGGGTGACAGCATCATTTTCGACATGGGCCAACGCTGTGGCTAGGGCTTGGAGGTACTCCGGCTGGATCAAGACAAAAAGAAGAACTTCAGATTACATAAGTAATTCCACTCGCAAAGACGCCACCACCAATCTTAAAAAGGTCCAGTTGACATCTTACTGGAAACACTGCCCAAAGGACTAGTACATGTACAATATTTTAATCCTTTTATGCATGGTATGCGTCTATGTGTATATACATCTCACATGCGATTGTTTACACATTTACAGAAAGGTTTTTCAGTGGGTATGCTTGCAGAAAGATCTTGTTTTTTCACACAAAATATTTAAAAAATAGCCAAACTGTTCCATTTCCATAAAGTGCCGACCTTAATGACGATGAGCCCTTAAAAGTTTTGCACAGTGGTGTGAGCATACATTAAAATACTGCTTGTCTTAATTGTTGATGTTCATTTATTTTTTTGCATGGTTTGGTTTGCTCGCCTGCAAAAGTCAGTAAGTACCAACTGAGGGCAGTCTGGTCGGGGACCATGGTTTACAAAAGTTTATTAACAAGGAGTGGCCATGCTGGATTCTTGGGTGGTGACAAAATACACCTTTCAAGATTTCAGATGATACGACCTCTACAAGCTGTAGATTTAAAAGATGTCTGGAGTGGTTATGTATATTGGAGCCACTCTGGCTCTGGTCACCTTCGCTCTTCCATAACGTTTAAGTTTAATGAATGGATACATTGCTACTTGACCCTAGAATTTCTAGAAGTTATTTTAAGGACTGTTTAATTACATTATTCATCACATTACACAAAATGATCTTTAAGGTATTTTTGTAGAGCTAAGTCAATATAGCAGTGACCTCTTACAGTGTACAACCTGCAGCTTTGTTTATAATTTTGTGAGCATTATTCTAGTACCAGACGTAAGTGAAGGTTAGACTGGCATTGCCACTGAGGTGGTGTCTTTAGATTACTCTTAATGGAAACGATGAACCCGAACAACTCGATGTTTAGGCCTAAATGAAGCTGCAGTAATTTAAGGTGATCCGTTGCGCTTATATTCATAACCAATTCCATCATGTCGAAGCTTCCAGGAAAAATACAAATCTGGTTAGCTTTTGCACATGGGAAGTTGTCACTGTGTTGGCAACACAATAGTCACATGGTCAATTTACAGTACAGTAACATTTCATATAGAAGCTGTCGGGCAACAGATTATCAACAGCTTTAAAATGGGGGCTTGCTTCATTCATTTCAGGTCAACAGGCCTATGTACTGATGACGTCACTCTTTGTTTATGTGTGCACTTTCCCATGGAGCCAGTTGGGCATCATGGGAAGGCACGCAGTACACACAAAGTGTGGCATCATCAGTGCTGAGGTCCTTTTCACGATGGCATTAACTAATAACCCAGAATAAGGCAACCAGGGTACAAACTGTGCATGTAACCCAGCACGTGTAACAGCTCATCAAGAATCTGTCACTCCACTTAAACTTTTCTCAAGGAGTTCAAATCAAACTTACAAAGTTATCCTGCGCGGCTTTCTCCAATGCCTGCTGGGCAAGTTCCAGCTGATGGGTGTCTGCAGGAAGGAAAATTGGATCATAAGCCATGTATGTAAAAAGGCATGCCACATAGAGCTGAGCCAAATATACCGATATTTGATCGTTAATCGAATATTCAAACAGTTATTAGTGAAAGCGAATATTTGGCAGTGAAAAGAAAATGAACAATAAAAGGACAAAAACTCATTTATGTAGTTAGAAAACTGCATTCTAATGAGCATTTCAAGGTGATAAAGGACACTTGATGCACACATGTACAGTATGCTCAACAATATGACTTAAAAATCACTTTCCATTCATTTAAAAATATTTGTACTACATTGCCTCACTAGGTCTAAGAATAAAGCAAGAGTTAGGACCGAACATCACTTGCACTACCAGCCCCCTGTTCCGTCTTAGGGACAGACCCCTGTCTTGAAACTCAATAAAGTAGACCACCACAGAAACATTCAAATTTTGTGTCTGCTTTTCAGGGGATTTGGCACAGCTAATTATCTGGATACTGGATCGATTGGGAGCTCGCAGAATTCAATACTCAACTACAGATTCAAACTGACTCAGCCACAATACAACACACGCATTATGCATGTAAAACTGAAAAAAAAAAAACAAAGGATGAATGAATTTGTTAAAGAGTTCACAGAAAAATCGGTAGTGCCAGTATCACAACTGGGGGAAGGCACACTAATGACACTTATGATAAATTACCCTTACGTCACTGGTTTCCAGCATGGGTCACACATGGTGTTGTTACACCTACATGTAAACTAAACATCTGTCCAAACTGTAAACTTTAGTGCTACAGTTATGCTGGACTATTGGTGGCAAATCTCCACAGAAAATTTCCCAACCTTCTCCAAATTTACGCAGTTTACTCCTGATATAAGTCATCCAAAAACAGCACTTCATCTACATGTATATAAAAACTTGTTTCTACAAGCACAAGTTGTTGTCAGCAAACTTGCTTTGACATGCTATGGCTCATGCACATTAGACCTCTGTGCTGTAATAAGCCTTTTGCGAGTTAACTTTGACCCAAATCTGGTACACTGAGTTCTTTAAATTCACGTGAACATAACAATTTGATTTCTCCTTACTTAAACCACTGTTGCTATACCTCGTGATTCGGGGCAAGCTTTTGCTTAGTGACATAAGAGACGCCTTGCAACAATACACTGTTCTAATGGATAAGAAGGGCACAAAGGAACCAGTCCATTCCAGAGATGGTGGTAGCTGTGCAAAAGCTTGCCCCGAATCATGAGGTATAGCAACAGTGTCTTTAGTTTGAGGAATTCAAATCATTATTATAATGTGCAATCAGATAACTCAGTGCACCAGATTTTATTCAAATTTAACTCGAAAATGGCCTATTGGGCCAGCCCAACTGTAGAACTATTGTTGGGACTGATGCTGTAGTTTGGGTGTAACATTATCATGTGAAATCCCAAAATACATGTACATGTTTAACCCCTATGTAATAGTGTGTGCAGCTATGTACTGCACGATGCATCATCCACTATGGAAAGAGTTCCTTATTAGGTCAACACTTGTCTTCCTCAATGACTTGGAAACTACCAAGAAGTGTAAATCTGATCGAAAAACTAATTTCGGAGAGACATTTCATGTTTTCATGAGAATAGTTTCTACGCTCACAGCCCAAAGACTTTGTGCGTGAATTCTAAACCTAGCATGTCAAAGTTGGTGGCTGGATGTGGACCTCTTTCTGCTAAAAGGGTGCTTAGGGAGGGTTTAAGAGTTCTTTTGTTCTCAGTGGATCACATGGGAAGATCCTGCTGCATAGCAAGATTTTTTAAATACATTTCAGTGGACATTACGCCCTAACTGCTTTGTAATGAGACAGGAAAGAATGTTGCATCTTGCCTCCACTTTTTTATCAGGTACGTAGGATTTTGGGAAGGTCAGTCATTGAAATTGCTGAAATGAGATAAATTTGGGACTGAAAAAGATGTCACTTTTTCTATAAAAATACTTCCAAAGTACACTAAATTCTCCACAGACTTTATACACAACTAAAAATTTGGAGTCTGGATGCTGCAGTCTTTCCTCAAGACATTTCAAATGATCCTGAACTTTTCAAGTGATACTGTACAGTATGGTCTGATGCTGGCTCAAGTTTGGCAAAGGCATGATCAACTGGTGCTCAGTCTACATGTACATGTATTATGGCTACGGCTACATGTAGCCCAGGTTGGGCGACGTTGTCATTACATTAAACCCTGCCATGATGGAAGTAATGAAAATTTCGTCCAGATGTTCCTTAAATCTGCAATTACTCAAAAGCTACATGTAGGTTTAAAATAAGTACATGTATGTCCTTGGGTTATGTGAATGCATCATCACTGTGGGCTGTGATTGTAAACATTCGAACTCCATGTCCATGTAAATTGGTAATGAATGTACCAGGAACCTTTGCTGGTAAATAGTGTTACATGAGCATGCCCAGACACAAAGTGCACAACCTTGCTTCCGTTGTGTCAAGCAGTGTGCCTTAACCCTAATCCCACATAATAAATGTTCTACAAATTACCACATGTACTTGTAGTAAAATGTAGCACTGAGCGCTGCCACTTGTAAGAGGACATGACTTTACTGTTCTGTGAAGCCATAAGATACAACAGATAAGACAACGTACCATACAGTGCTGTGGCACTATGAATGCATGGCTTTATTGTTCTCTGTATGAGTAACAATGGAAATAACCTAGCCAGAAGTAGTAATCTGTGGCGCTAGGTCCTTCAGGCTCAGACGATTACTTAGTATTTTGTATTACTGTGTAGTGTAAGCCAAACAATATGCTTGGCGGTGAGGGTTAACGTAATGGAGCTGAGATGGAATAAAGTAACCGCTGAGGACAAGGTTTCAAAATGCATAGCAACTCCTGGTCTGGTTCCCAGATCGAAAGATGCTTATGTTATTTTCAGAGTGATCTTTGATGTGGCAGGGAGCCACCGCAAGTTGTGCATGAAAGTCTCCACTCGAGAAGTTCATTTGCATGTTAACGACAAAAACACGGAATAAGACCTTATTTATTTTGCAACTACAACAAGGTCCCAATTTCGAGGGCCTTTTTTCCATATCATCTTCTGTTACACTGTGTGACGTAAATAACTCTAAATGATGTAAAAATACTTTCTACTTGCCAATAGTCCTCTGCGCTGACCAAAGGTGGAAAGTTATGGCTTCACTGGCATGATAGGGAAGTTATAGGCCTACTTATATCTATAGTTAGTGGAGGCTTTTTAGTAGGCTTATTTCAAACATCACAAAAGGATTTTAAATTACAGAGGGCATAACTATTCATTAGGCCTAGGCCTACCACCGCTTTGAAAGTTTCACAGTCAGAATATATTTCAAAGCAGTTGTGAATAGCTTACTACAAGTTGCCCACAAAATGCTTTTGTTTTTTCAGGTTTAGCATTAGGCTAGGTGAATAAATATTTACAAATTACAGGCTTAGCCTTAGGCCTACACCTTAAGTGGGCATCTTCATGTACTGTACGCTATGTTGCTCCATTGACCTGGTGAGTGTTAACTTGATACTTAAGGCATTACGGTATGCACTAATGTTAGTTGTTAGGAGAGAACATAATTCTGTCAGGCCTGCCAATATCTGAAAGGGGCAAACATCCATTTTTGAAACAAAACAGACATGACAGACATGTTACAGAAGTTTTTTTCTGGCTCTATACGAAGAATCTCCCCATGTCATGTGCCTACAGCGCTGGATATTTTCAGCTATCAAATGTGGCATGTAATGTTCCACGTCATTTGATGTCACGTGTCTAATAACTTCTGTCATGTTAGTTAATGATCCGTCATGAACAATGAATGTTCGTACATGTCCTAGGCCTACAACATGTCCAAGGCGCCTACCTGTCGTCGTAACTGTTGCCTGAAGAATGGTGACAAGTTGGTGATCCATTTTGCGGGGCTGCAAATCTAATTACCGAAGAGACAACACCCTCAACAACCAGTGGTCAGCAGCAATATTGAAAAGTCCTGGAGAAAAATATAGACGATAAAAACTGGATTTGGAAATTTATCTGCGAAAATGTCGCTCGCCCCTCCTTAGCACATGTGCGTGCAATATCGCGCAGCGCATGCAGCTAGCTGCAAATGCTGCCGGGAAAAAATCCCTCCCGAATTGCACACCGACGCGTTTGGAAAATGAAATTTGATTGGTCATCTGAATGAACAATTCCACAAGAAATAAAACGCTAAAGCAGGATAAATTTAAAACAAATGAACAAAAAAATTAATTTTATATTTTATTTCAATAAGATTACATCTTTGAAAAAATGTTGATTTATTTATTCTCACAGATTGAAATTAATAATTATTTTAGGTTTTAAAGACAATTCTACAATAACCAATGAAACAACACAATACATGAACACGTAAATTTGCGATGAATATACCGGTAACCTTTGCTGTGACTTGTTTTCCGTGAAGAGAGAGCTAGAGAGCATGAATTCAAATGACCTCATACGTACAGTTTCAAATTCACCACTTTTTCGTAAGTGTACTAAAGAAGAAAATGATGAACACGCATAATCACTGCTACAAAGTAAAACAGACTTGACTGTTCCCCATTCGCACATCCAGAGGGCGCTATATAGGAACTTTACGCGCGGATTTTTCTACATTGGTTTTGGCGCAATTTCCTGATATAAATGTATCAAAAAAATTAAATAAAACTGTATTGGGCAACAGTGTTACATAATAGCATAATGAACTGATTTTTTATTTCCCGTCATATGAACATCCATAGACCTACATTAGTGAAACTTCTGTGCGGCGTTGCAGCGTTCAAGTTGGCCGCATCAATCAGCCCTAATAGGCCTATCTCCTTTGCAAATGTTTATCATTGGTTTTGGTCTTAAGTTAGTTTTTAATCTTTTAGGCATAACAATAAAAGTAAACAAATTTCTGTCGTGAAGTTGCATGAATGCTTGCCTAACAATTAGTACAGGGCCTGAAAGACTGCATTTCGATTTGCCCCTCCCTTTTTCTTCTTTTTATTTATTTCTTTTCTGAGGGGGGGGGGTACGCCCCCCGCGGATCCGCCCCTGATCGTTCCTAGGTATCCTTGTTCATGCACGTTTGTTTCCACTCCCCGTGCCTACGTGAAAACGACATTGTACAACGTTGCAAAAAATTATACAGTCAACAGGTTCCAGATTCACATGACGCAGTTCTTGTCAGCAAAGGTAGAATAAACATTAGAATCTTTCGTAAAAGTAGATTATTGCTTTCAGAATATTTGCATATTAATAGTCACTTTTTCAACCCCTTGACGTGGGATACATCAGTGCCCGTTGGAGACAATCTATAACGCAGAATGCTGCAAACACATGAGGGAACACTCATGTTTGGGTCCCACAAGTTCACCATTGCTGGACGAGTGTGCAGAGCATAAGCTTTGTCTGCATCCAATTCGCAGAGTTCCTTCAGAAAGCGAGAATTTATCTCTTCAATGACTCTGCAATCCTTGAAGCTTCCGTGTTTGCTCCGGCAAAAGTTTTGTGCCAAAAAAGGTCCGGCAGACCACCGCAACGGCAGCTGCTCGATGAGTCGGACGCAAGAGCCACTGATGAAAATCAGCAAAATCGGCATGCTAAACATTAATTGGGAAGCAAACCAGGTGACACAGCTGTCAAGATTGACGCACTGGAAAACAGCTTTAGCGAGGTATTCGTCAAGGAGAGAGAAGAGGCAATTGGTAGAAGGAACCAAGAGATGGAGGAAATGCCTCATTCACGTTGTATCAGAAAAGAGTATGTTGATGTTTGCAAAAAAAGGAAGGAAAAATAAAAAGAACGACTTTTTCGCCAAATTGCGAAAAAGCCAAATTAGCCACCACAGAGAAGAAAAATAAAAACAAAAGGGTGACATCAGCAGTTCACAAGTACTCAGATGACAGTGACATACAGGAGACTAGCCCGGTCAGGCACTGCCTATTTCACTTCCAGGGGACAGAGTATGTTCAACTACTGCGCACACTGGACTCATTTCAAATTCCGCCCTGTCTTTGGCTTGATCTCTCTCAGGCTGAGCGCACGAGGGTTCCCACTTTCCCAGAGGTGCAAGAACTTCAAAGCTCTGTTTTGGTAGCCCCTCAGTACTGTGTGACACGTTTTGAAGTTTTTTTGGGCCGTTTCAGCAAATCCGTGGAATCCTTCAAAGCGTCTCTTGCAGTGGCTGAAAACTAAATCATTTGTTTCAAGGAAGTATCTTAGTCCAGTTAAATATTTTCGTATACACATGTATTTCTCAAGCGACTAGAAAACAAATTGATTTCCGGCCTTAACTTGAATTTATAATGTGTGTACCTCTTTCGTCTTGTTTTAAACACAATATACAGGTATTTCTGGCCAAAAAAACTTTCCAGAATTGCCAAAGACGTCAGAATCAAAGTTCGCACATGACAGGAGTTGACGAAGGCGCGAGCACACATAGTCATTCTACACGACTGCTGCAGTCTACTAATTCAAGCAAGAATTTCTGGCCAGCTTATTATCATTAAAAGTGCCCCCCAACTGTATCTTTTGAAAAAGGAGATTGTTTGGCACCCAAAATGGTGAGATTGTGTAAATCCTGGCCAGGATCAACTCTCTGGGTCTATGAGCTTTCGTATGAGAGCAGAATGGCTAAAAACTACGGTTGAAAAATGGTTCTAAGTGCCCGAGAAAGTTGAGGGTTGCCACTTGAAAAATGGCTGCAATCATACTTCGGAAAAATCACTTTTTGGGGGGTGGGTTTGTTTTGTGGGGATAATTAAAAATGTAATTGGTTAACCCACAAAAAATTGAAAAG